ACTATTCGGCTTAGCTAATACCCCTATAATATTCTAGTCCTATATTAATCGGGCCCTATTAGGCCTATTAGACTACCTCTATATAGTTTACCTAGATAACATCCTAGTCTATATCTATTTACCTAATATTACGGAGTACTAGGTTGTAGTCCGTAAGGTACTCGATCGCTTACGAGCCTATAGACTATATTGCAAGCCTTCTAAATATACCTTCGCCGCTAAGGAGGTAGCCTTCCTTAGCTTCCTCGTATTAACTAAGGGTATTAAGGCTAATCCTAATCGGATCAAAACTATTACTAAATAGCCTGTTCCTACGTTAATTAAGGAACTATAGTCGTTCCTCGGCTTCGCTAATTTCTATCGTCGCTTTATTAAGGGCTATTTACGGTATATAATGCCCCTAACTAAGCTTACTAAAACTAAGGCCAACCCGTCTAGAGAATTTAAATAGACTAACAAAACACAAGCCGCTTTTAACGGTCTAAAGAAACGATTTACTAAAGTCCCCTTATTGCACTATTTCGTACTAAGCAAACAGATGCGAATTAAGACTAACGCTTTATAGTTCGCTATATCGGCTATTATATTATAGCAATTAGATAATAACTATTACTAGCACCCGATTACCTTCTTTTTACGGAAGATAATCGATATAGAGCGTCGATACGAGACCTACGAGCAAGAGCTCTTAGCAATCGTAGAAGCCTTTAAGTATTAGCGCTACTATCTTAATAGTACTTAGTATACAATTTAGGTCTATACAGACTATAACAACCTCTATAGTATTACTAAGGTTACTAGAGTTATAGGTCGATAGGCTAGATAGGCCGTCTACCTCGCCGGGTTTGATTTTAATATATTATATCGGCTAGGCGTAAGCAACCCTGCTAATAGCCTATCGAGGCAGCCTAATTACAATAGTAAGACCTAGTATATTAATTTATTGTTTCCAACCCTATAGCATAAGATTGCTATAGCCCGTATTGTTAATAAGCAAGCGTAGGATAAGCGGACTTCCGGACCCCGCGACGGTAACAAATACTATAGCGGAGTTGTCGTTCTTCTAGTATACGTTAAGAAGGACGTAGATCGCTCGAGCTATAATAACTCGATTAAAGATATTGCTATCTATAGCGACAGCACTGCAGAAGAGGTTATAGTAGTTCCGGCTACTAGTGCTATTAGATATATATAATACGTACCTCGTTCGGCGACAGTACGGGTACTATTAAATAACCTTATAAATAGGGATAGTTAATTGTTTATAGATAGGCTATTACGTGCTTAGTAGAGGGACGCCTTTGCTACTAAACGTATTAATAAGCTTATAAGTAGGCGAAAGACTCGATCTAGTAAGAGTAACTATTAGTCGATCGACGACAAGGGTTACTTAAAGTTTAAGGGCAGATACTATGTCCCCGCTAAACAATCGATTAGACAAGAGCTTTTAAAGAGGCACTATAATAGTAAGCTCGCTAGTTACTATAGTATAGAGAGGTTGTACGAGTTACTATCGCGTACATACTACTAGCTAAATAGTAAGCGGTATATAAAGGAGTATATACAGACCTGTATAGTATGCTAGCGAGTTAAAGCACCGAAGCACTTACTGTTCGGCGAGTTGTCTTCGCTCCCTATTCTAAAGAAGCCATTTGCTAAGCTTATAATAGATTTTATTATAGGCCTTCTACCTACTAAACGTAGGGGCAGCAAGGATATATATAATGCTATCCTTATTATAGTAGATCGATTTACTAAAGGCGCTCGATATATCCCGGCGCGGAAGGATTAGACTACTATTAATATAGCAGAAGCGCTATAGACTAACATCTTCTATACCTATTAGGGAACCCCTAAGGGGATAGTATCTAATCGTAGATCGATACTAATATCGCATTATTAGAGCGAGATTTGCTTACAGCTAAGACTAAAGCATCGGCTATTAACAGCCTTTTATCTATAGACTAACGGTCAAATAGAGAGGTAGAATGCCACCCTATAGTAGTACCTACGTAGCTACATTAATAAGAACCCCGAGGATTGGGTTAATCTCCTATAGCCTATAGAATTCGTATATAATAACAGCGTGCACTTATCTACTAAGGTTTTACTATATATAGCTATAATAGGCTAAAACGCTGCCCTACTATAAGATCTATTTACCTCGCTCGAGGCCGAGCGTAAGGAAAGGGAAGCGCGTTAAGTACTAGAAACACTAGCGGCAATAGAACGTGTCTAGAAGATGCGAGAAATCTATACTAAGATAGCTAAGAAGCTAATAAGGGCTTAAGAGTACTAAAAGACCTACTACGATAAGCGCTATATACTAATAACCTTTAAATAAGGCGACATAGTTATACTAAGCACTAAGAACCTCCGTATCCGCAAACACCTATTACCTAATAGTAAAACAAGGCCTAAGCTCGTACTAAGATATATTAGCCTATTCCGCATTCGAGAGGCTAAGGGTATATAGGCCTATTAGTTATAGCTTCTACCCTATTACACTATTTATAATACCTTCTATATATCCCTCCTTAAACTATACTACTAGCGCGAAGGCGATAAAGCGCCTACTAAGTTAGAAGAAGTCTTAGCTAATAGTAAAGAGCTATAGTCTATAGAACGCATTCTAAAGTACTAGACTAGGTAAGGCAAGAAGGAGTACCTACTAAGATAGCAAGGCTATTTACCTAAATAGGACTCGTAGGAGGCTAAAGGCTCGTTTAAGGATATAACTAAGTTACTAGACGAGTATTAGACTAGTATAAAGAACAAGAAGAAAGCTAAGGGCCTATAATGTCGCCTAGGAATAATGCTACCCCTAGGGTGCTATTAGCTAACTAATTAGAGGCAAGCAATTATTAGCAATAAAGGATAATAAGACTATACTACTATAGTAAACGCGTACCGATAAACGCGTACCGAGTGCTAACTAGCGCGCTATAGCGTATTAACTAATCGTATGCTCTTTTATAGAATCTACCTCTTTACTAGCGTACCCTATAAGACCCTTCTCTTAGCGCCCTCTCTTATTCCTTTATTCTAGTAAGGCCTCGAGGCCTAGGCAATCGGCGCGGCTAGCGCGGCTATATTAGTAACAGTGTTACAGGGTATGTATTGCTACTTAAAGAAGGGAAGATACGTCTATATTAGTAACGGTATTGCCGAGTTGTTATAGGTTAAAGAAGGAAATTAGAAGAAGGTAAAGTTAGCGCTAAGACGACTAGCGCCGCTATTATTAACATTACTTGCTATTATTACTACGTCCGCCGGAGACAACCTTACCTATACTACGTACCTAAGGCCGAATCGCGCTATACTAATTAAGTTAAAAGAATAGCTATATTATAGGTTTAATTAAAACTTTAATTAAAACTTTAAGCCGCTTAAAAGATTAAGCGACTAATAGACTAGCTAACTAAGGGCAAAACTATAGAGCTAAGTTAGCTAGGGTCGATCTTGCGGATAATAAGTTACTCCTCGATCTTTCCGACCCTTTAAGTAAAGCGAACCTTAACTACTACACTTATAATAGCCTTTATCTATAGAAACCGGAAGAACCGTGTTTTTTAAAAAGATAAGATAAGATTGACACTTAAAGGCTGCTAAACCTAGCTAATTAGGGCTAGCGAAACTACGATAGTAAATAATAGCCCTCGTAATAATAAGAACAATCCCTCGTAATAATAAGAACAACCCTCGGAAGCGGACATTTCTAGGTCTTTTAAGAGTAGACGTAGAGAACTCGGTACGATATTACTTAGAACGGGGGTAGTACTATAATACCCCGTATACCTACCTATTATAGTAGGGAAGGTACGCTCGTATTATAATTAGTCGGTAGTCCTTAATTCTTATAGTTATATATTACTTTATTATATATAAGGATAGCGTAGTTAGAGTTAGATATTATATTGTATTAGAAGTGAGGTTTAACGTAGTTATATAATTAGGTAGTTAAGTATTTAATTTAGCGCGGACTAAGTAGCTTATTAGACCTACTAAGTTAGTAGCGATAGAGGTTAGAATAAAGACCGGCTACGAGAGCGCGGCCCCTAGAAGGGAAGCGTATATTAGGACTAAAGAGGTTATACGTAATTAGTATATAACTAGGCTCGAGTGAAGCTAGGGTCTTAGTACCTTAGGTAGGGCTTAGCGCTTAGCGTTAGGCTAACTTGCCTACCTTCCTCCCTCTCCTCTTAGCTCTCTATCGAATACTATACTAATTTACTACTACCCTATCTACCTACTAATATAACCCTTCTTACACTAATCCCTACTATACTAATAACTTTTAAATATATCCTCTTTCTTTATAACTAAAATACTATATCTGTAAATCCTCTAGCTCCTCCTCGATCTCCCTCTAAGCTAGAATACTTTACTCTACCTTACTATCCTTTTCTTTCCTTTCTTTTATAGAATAGAGGTAGGAGCTAAGGTTAAACAAACAAACAATCTTCTAATAAAAGTTAAAAGTTAAAACGACTTTTAGAAAATTTTCTACTACGCTACTAGAACTAATAATAAAATCTAGAGGAATTAAAATTTTTACGTCCTACTTTTCCGTTTTATTTAGTCTCTCTAAGCTACGAGTACGTAAAGTATAGTACCTAAGATTTTTTTGTTCTTTAAAAAGAAGTAGATAATATAGCGATCTAGATCTTCTTCTTAATCGTAACGAGTAGAATTGAGGATCTGCTACTGTATCTTCGAAAGTAGTGCCTCTCCTAGAAGACAGGATATATATGTGATATGCCTGTCGTATTATACATCTTGTGCGTGGTTCATCGCGGTAAGAAAGCTATACAAGTGCTTCTTGGAAGAAATGATGGAGGGAAGAGATGCTAGCGATTGGACTGAGTGCATGCGAGCCAGGTCGGGAAAGTATGTATGTCGAGCTCTTCTCTTCAGGAAGCACGAGGGAAGGAAAGGAAAGGAAAGGTGAAAAAACGGGCACGAGCTCTCCCTCGCCAAACCCGTCCGTCCGATAAAAGAGCCCTGACATTCACACATTTCAATTCTGACTCAAGCTAGACATATATATCTCTAACAGAAAGACAGACTATTGGGGCGGGTATGATAGCCGACCTTTCCCAACGCCAACCCATACCTTCATTCAACTCGAAGCCTTCTCTTCCTTCAAGTACCTCATCGTATCCTGCGCCGTGAACGAAAAGGGACTCTTGGTACCCATTTCCGGACTACGAGGGCTCATGGGTAGCGCGAAGAGGTCGTCTGCCTTGTCATCATCAATTGAAGCCTGCGAGAATCCAGTATCGCTGATATCGCCGCTGGCAAAAGCATTCAGAGACGCCATACCCATTCCACCTTGCGGTCGCTGTTGAGAGATGAAAGATTCCGGCGGCGGCGGCGGTCTTTGCGCGACGACTTTCCGTTGCTGCTCTGCAGGAGGTTGTGGAGGTTTCGCCGCGAGCGTAGATGTTGGCGCGGCGCCTTTCAGTGCAGCGAAACTTCCGAAACTTCCCACGGCCACATCGGTCCCCTCTGGACTCAAAGGATGATATGATTCGGGCGCAGCACTTCCCTCCGTCTTTCTCGACGACGAAAGATCCTGCGCGCTCGTCCCCAGTTTAAGACCCTTTAGCTTATCCATCAACCTCCCACCCCCGGGACTGCGTGGACTCGCCGGACTATTCAAACCCGCATTCCCCATCCCCATCACAGAACTCATCGCCGACTGCTGCTGCGGAAAACTCTTACTCGGAGGTTTCGTCAAAACCCCGAAATTCTGCTCAATCCAATCCTTCTCCGCCGCAGCCATCTGATACCCAATCCCCTCCACATTCTCCTTCGACTCCGCTTCAATCTCCTCTTGCAAAACCTGCAACCTCTTCTTCGCCCATATCGTATGCAGCACCCCTTTCTTCCCGGCCTCGCGAGCCGTGGCCCCAAGTTCCGGGGAGAAAATCGCAGGCAAAGGCGCCGTCCTCCACGCAATGTGTCCTTTTTGTAATTTCACCTGTGTCGGGATCGCCACCCCCGGTCCTAACAGGAAATATAGTCGGTTGAGAGGAGGCAGATCTTCCGTCGGGTGGTCGTCGCGGTCGCGCGCGGGCAGGAAGGTTTTTTTCCCTTTCCAACTGATTTCCCAATTTCCGGTTACGCCCTTCGTGCTTTCGTCTTCTTCCCATTCGACCATGAGGACTTTTGTGCCGTCTTTGCTGCGCCCCGGTTCGAATTCGAAGCGTGCGAGCGCGTTGCCGTTTGTCAGGGAGGGGGATTCTACGTCGTCTCTTTGCGAATGTTCGCGGGGGTCGAAGGTCGTGTCTACAGGGTCGTAGCGCGGTTTTGGTGGTGGTGAAGTCATTATCGATCGATGTAGATGTATCGGGGAGCTGGGAACGTGAGATGCGGTTCGCTGGAAACGGGACGTTCGATGATGTGCCCCGCTGTTGGCCTTGTCGAGGGACGCGCAATGTTTGGGGATTGAGATTGGTAGGTAGGTACTCGGATAATGGCAGCGCAGAATTAACTGCTGCTGTGCTTTCCTCCACTTGCCATCGGGAGTTGTACTGATCGATGCCTGGACGCGTCGGTTGCACCTGCACTTTGCAATTAGATTCGTAATGGTTCCGGGTTGTTTCTATAATTAAAGGTAGATCGTAAGGAAGATCTAGGCCGCGGCAGGTGATCACGTTACTCAGTGCCGCGGGGAGGGGAACGGAGCTTTTGGATAGCGGAGAATTGTAAAAAATGATATCTGATGTGGATGTTGCTTTGGTTTTTTTTTTTCATTTATGCTAGATTCATATAGGGCTTCATTTTGGCCTATAGGTATGCATTACATCTAACCCAAGAGCTGCACTAGTCTGGGCGAAACCGCGGTGACGCGGAGGGTATCATAATCTCATCATGCCGGATGATTAAGCTAAGAGAAAAAGCGCCGTCGCTATGCAAAGGAAGAGAGTGTCGGGAGACAGCAGGCCAGGATGCAGGAAGAGCGAAGGGACACCATTAACTAGATAAGGAGGTGGTCCCAGCCCTTCTGCTGCATCGCATCGCGCCAGCGGATGCCCTGGTAGTCTCCCTGAGCAAGAGCGGTGTCGTTGATCTGCCAGATGTCGTTGAGAAGTTCTCGGACGCGACCGAAGGAGCCGAAGTTGGCGGCGTCGCCGAGTCTTTCGCAGCGTTCGGCGAACATGGATCGGAAGGGTGAGGTAGGCACGGAAGAGGCGCCTGCGATGAGAATTGGCCAGGCGAGAGATCGATCGAAGCCATCGGCTCCGGCGGGGATGTAGTTCATGAGGTCGGAGAATTGAGAGACAAGACCACATATCTGTGGAGTTGAGGGGTTGTTGTCTTGGAGCAGCGTGCAGAGGTAGATGCGTGCGGCAATGCGGAAGACTGCGGTCATGTTGGTCGCCAATTGCTTTGGTCGAATGGCGCCGGTGGGAGAAAAGCAGCTTTGCACTGATCCCGGTGGAAGCTCAGTCTGGCTGATGGCGAAACCCAGACTTTCAATGTATTGGCAGACCTGATGCAATTCCATGCCGAGAGTTTGCTGGTAGTCGAGACATGCGATCTCCGAAAGCAAGAACATGATCCGGTCGTCGCAGCCCATCAACTCTTGCAGACCCATGGATTGTCCGTTGGTGGCCATCTCACGGTATGTGTCGGCGAACACTGGCTGGCGGCCGATGACGATCGATCCGAGAATGTCAATCCACGATGCCAGAGTCATGTTGAAAGGAGGATGCTGCGGTGCAAGCTCAAGCACAACGTTTTGCAGATCCAGTCGGTGGATGAGGCTGGTTGCCATGGAGAAGTGCTGATGCCACGCAATATCGGGAAGAGCATCGTCTGGTCGACCCACGGAACACTGGAAGAAGATCAAACTCAGTGTGTTGCCGAGCATCTGATCGTGGTTCTCATCTTTTCCGAGCTGTTCACAGAGTTCCGACACGGCGGCGTAGCGGTGTCGAATGATGTCGTTGTCGATCTGCTCTCCGGTAGCCCCCTCAGTGGCCTTCATGTGCGTTGCAGCAATGCTCAAGCAACAGTGCAGGTAAGCCTTGTTGTTCTCGAGAGCTGGAACGATGATGTCTGATCGGGACGAGCCATGTTGATTGGCTTCCAACACGGGGAAGATGAGCTTGGGGACCTTGTCGAGAAAGTGGCTGAGAAGATACTTGTCACCCTCCTCCACCTCGATGATAGCCTCGTGAGCTGGAGTGGCCGGCGAGTGTTGGAAATCGAAAAAGTTGAAGTCGACGGGCTCTTCGGGAAACTCTTCACACACGCTCTCAAAGTGTTCCTGCTGGATCCACGCATCGGCTGGGTAGGTCTGGATGCCATCTGCATTTGGCGGAGGCTGGTATGTGCTGAAGGTCGAAATCGTCGAATCTCTCCTGGTCGGGACATCGTTGACGAAGATCTGTCGCTCGGTCTTGACATCGATCTCATACGGCGAGAACATGGGATACTGGGAGTGAGCCGCATAAGGTTGCGGAGGAGGTGGCATGCCAAAGTAGCCATCGGGAGAGCCATAGTTGAAGTCGCATGCGGTCGAGTAAGGTGAGCCATCCGATGAAGGACATCTTGAAGGTGGGAAGGATTCCGCGAAAGGAGCTTCTGCTGATGAAGGCACCGAGTGGCTGAGAGGCGGTGGTGGAGAGCTTGTGCTGCTGCTGAGCTGTGGCTGCTGAGCTTGCGCTTGCTGGGCTTGGTGCTTCTTGGTGAGCTGGGTCTTCTTGATAATGTTCTTGATGACCTCCTTCTGCGCTCGTCGTTGCTCGCCATTACTCCACCACATGGGACGCTTGTAATCGCATCGAAGCCCCAAGTGTCGGCATGCCTTACAAGCGGGCTTGCCTTCTTCACACTTCTTCCTCCGTAATCGACAGGTGAAGCAACCTGAAACAAGTCAATACCTCGAAGCTCGCGGGAACGGCTGCACCCCAGAATTGATGGATGGACGGACCTGAGCGCGAGCGCCTGTGCATCTTGGACGCAACTGCTTTCGCCTCTGCTGCTGATGGCGGCGCATTTTTGGGAGCGGCCATCTTGGAGTTCTGTTTAGTTTGGATCGGGTTCTGCGCGGAAGAAGACATAAGTGTATATGTACAGAGGTACCAAGCGCGACAATGGCCGGGAAGGCGAGCAGGGAAGCACCAGATGCTTTCGATTAAACGACAGGGTACGCAAAGCCTGGCCTGCGGGCTTTGGTTCGAAGGAAGGAGACAAAAAAGACGGTAAATTAATCGATCAACGACTGCTGAGGTGGGTGAGTGAGTGGGCGCTTGAAGGGCATTATATGTCCCAAGTCGCGAGAAATGCGGGCTAAATGACCTGATTCTATTCTGGGAGCTCGAAGAAAGTGCATTAAGGTGGACCGCGAGCGTGTGGGGTTTCCTGCCATTTCGTGCTAATTGCCTGGGCTTGTGAGAGCTTGACCCTGTAGCTATTGGCCGTTGTGACCTGGTGGCTGCAGATCTGTCGAATTGAACGGCCCGCTTTCGTCGTGCACTATTCTTGCTGCCGCCCATGCCATCACCCGACTGGCCAAAGACGCAACATGAACTGTGTGTGCTAAACTCTTGAGCTTGGCCCCGCGGTCATCATGCCCTGCACCGGCAGCGGCACTCGTAGTTTGCGTTGATGAACTCGATCTGTCTGACGTCTCACAGCCCAGCCTCGTAGGTAGTTGGAAGTCAGCCATCTCTCAACGGTCGCCATATCACATCGGTCCAGAGGTGGGTCTGCTCTCTGACCGCATCCTGCTGTTGCGCTTCGGTTACAACAAGTTCACCAAAAAGACAGCTTGCGTGCAGTAGTGTGCGATAGCTGCCCGATACGGACCGTTGCAAACATGGGGATCAACCATGCAGCTGCACGCACGGCATGATGCACAAGCAGCAGCGTAGCTCAAAGCAGCCAGCTGTGGCCAGGTCAGTGCCACGGCAGCCACGCCGGCACAATCGCAGAGCCTCTCCAGTCACGAGCGAGGACCTGCATGGTGCGAGTGTCCCAGATTTGCTGTGTAGTTGGACAGACTTCGTGCGGTATGCTTCATATTCTACTCACGAGATCGACTGGCACTCCGTTCAAACTTACTGCTATTGCCAGGCGGTCTTTGCTGGCGCGATTCGGCCTGGGGACTATTGGACCTAAGAAAAGCCGCAGTGGGCGATGACTGCTCTCACGCCGTCAAGCAAGTTCAGCGACCCGGTGGGTCGTGAGCGTGACTGTCCTGTCTAGGGCGCTTGGAGGCGCTGAATGGACAGGTGCAGATGTGACGGACGACATGAAGTGCATTAAACTTTGTGATGGGGAGGGATGCAGATGGCGAATCAGATGCACTGACGTGCACCCAGTCCGTGCACTCATCCATGGCAGCTCCCGGCCAGATTGGATTGCGGGTGAGTGATGGCTGGGGCCGAAGTCCGCGACGATTGCGCGCTTCCCAGTGTGGCTTCCACGCACACATCCATCACCACACCTCGTGGTATGGTATGCTTCTTCCAATGCACAGAAGGAGCATGAGCACCAAATGCCTTGCGTCGGCCAGAAGGCGGAGTCGCAGAAGATACAACTGCTCGCTCGACTCCTCCCTGCGGATGGGAGCGAGTTGTCTTGGGAGGGGGAGCTTCTAACCGAGACACTCGTTCTTGAGTCGTCGATTGGATACCAGGGCAATGGCAGCGATCCACCGCGTCTTCTCGTCGCGGTTGAGTTGCAAACTTGCGAGACATTCTCGGCACTGGCAGCAAGTGGTTCGCGAGAAATCTCCTCATCGGCTCATGGAAATGAAGACAGACTCGGCCGGATTGCAGGCCACATCGGCTAGCCTGGTCGTTCACTCGGGTGGATCAATACTGGGATTCGGCCAGTCATTGGCACGATAGGGTGGTCACACTCTGGGCCTGCACGCACGCCGTTCCCTCTCTGGTATGTGCGCGAGTTCCTGTGACTTCGCACATTGACGTTGTGATATGGCGCGCTGGGACTTTGGTAGCACAACGCCATCGCTATGTCTCGTGGCAGTCGCGCAGCGGTGTCTGGGACTCTGGGACTGCAGCGTGTACGACTCAGGTCGCGTCCCTTGCGTCGCGATATGCACGCACTTTCGTTGATATGCAAGCACTTTATGCTACACGTCAGGAACGGATGTCGCGTTTCAATGAGCTTGGAACACGATTACACGAAGGCGCTGTGCTCATCAATTTGCAGAACACGAGCATATCAGCGCTGGTGTTATCAACACTAATGGATGATTGGGATTGTGGAAGATCACGGGATGGCAAGAATGAGCCGTGAAGGTCTGGCCGCATCGTCCCGAGGGCCGAACCCGCGTCATTAGAGTTGATCGTCGGCAGTAGGGCCAACTCAAAAGCAGCAGACAGATATGGACGGTTAATTAGCAGCAATTCTTGCGTCGTGGCAGTTATTTTGGTCGCATAGCATAGCATAGCATACACCTTCACCCAGCACGCAGCGAGTCAGGTTGAGGAGTGGCGCAGCGAGCGTAGGGCCAATGGTCTGCCGCCCTACGACCAAAAGCGATTGCCCGTGTGACGAAGGATCATTTGGCAGGCAGTCACAGGCCCAGGGACCGATGCATCCCAGTCTTCGCTCACTCGCCAACTACAGCCCATTGGCCGGTCTGGAGGGCAGCTGCACCTATTGTATGATGACACCGTCTTTGGCGCCCGCAACTGGCATGCACCGAAGCGCTGCACAACATGTCGGCCCGTGGATACGCGCGACGAATGCACCTGGCTGGTATACAAGACCTCCACTTCGCCCATCGCGCACGGAGGCCACCTCGCGACCTTCGTTCCGTGCCGCATCCGTACATTGCGGTGAACACGAGCATACACTGGCGACGCCGGACCTGCCATCATCATCAGTGCGACTCCGACGCCCTCCTGCCCTGGAAGCATCCCGAGTGTGAAGGTTCGTGATGCAGGCCATCACCCCAATTGCGCCTACGCCTACGCCTGCGCCTGCGCCTGCGCCTCTGGAGGCGCGGGCAGACATCTTCCCCCGAGCGAAGAGCACATCATTCTTGGAATCGAGAGCTTCTCAGCTGCGGCCCGTATCGCTGCTTTCAGAGGCAACAGAGATTCTCGACACCGATTTTGAAGACGAGAGCGACGATGGACGAGCTTCGCACAAGGGTAGCTTGGACTCGGTGAGTCTAGACCCGGGAGCTTCCACCAGTCTTGGCTCGGATACTGACGTGAGCGCAGTTTGATGACCGAAGAAGAAGCCAAACAACGATATCATCCTACGATGAGGCCCGAACACCAAGCCCAAGGACAAGTACCCAAAATCGGCCGCCGTTGTCCATTCATGTCCCGTCAGTCGAAGGACCGAGAGGACCTCATCTCTTCAGATCATCACACGTCTCTGCCGATTTCAACTTTGAGTATGCCTTGCAAATGTCGCCTCTACTACCCAAAGAGCAACCATCGCGAACGGCTACGGCTACCGCGTTTACGGATGCCACACTGACTCCACTGACTGCAAACCCTAATCAGAGCTTCACCATCGAAGCTGCTCTAGCACGGCCCGAAGCTGACGTGCGTGATCCCGAGGCCCACATTCGGTCATGGTCGACGCAACAGGTCATTGATTGGATGTACGGGACGGGCATTGACTCGACAGTGATTGAATGCTTCGATATCCACGACATCAATGGTACTGTCTTACTTGACCTGCAATTTGAGCACCTGAAGGAGCTGGATATTGCCTCTTTCGGCAAGAGGCATCAGCTATGGAACGCCATCTGCCTCCTCAAAGGCGAAGATGTACACCCTAGCCCACAGGCTACACCATTCCAAGACATTAGCAGACCATGCACATCCAACACCCGACGATCGTCGAGCCGTGGACGCTTGGCTCAAACTTCTATCGCAGACAACGAGGAAAGGCCGTCAAGTCCAGCAAGAGGCAAGTCGAAACGACGAGGTCGAAAGGCACCAAAGACCAACGATGTCATCTCCCCTCAGGAGTCCGTCTCGATCGTCGCTATCGAACAACTTCTACCCAAACCACATACTTGTGCAAAGGGTGAACGCTGTGCAAAATGGCGCAAGCAACAACGCGAACTCCAGCAACTCAAGGACGAGAACGGCATTGGTCGCTTCCCAATCAGTCCCGCCCGAGGAGGCCGCATCGTCCTCACTGGCGATCCCGGCAATGCCATGACAGCAGAGAACATGCTACCGAACGTCAGGCTTCAGTCACCTCAGCAGCCCCAGCAAGCTCAAGTACAAGGTCTGCTTCGCTTGGAAGATCCATTCCGCCAGACGAACGAGACTCCAGAGCCATCAGCCGGCTTTCCATCTGTGGTTGCTTCATCGGATCTTCTCGGTCCTGGTCAGCTGCCTGAGTTCGCGTTGCATCAAGATGTGCTCGATCAACTCGGCATGCGTGACCCGCAGGACAACGTCAAGCAATTCCTCAACTTCCAACACGTCCAATCGCCAGTAGAAGAGAACCGACCACCAACACCACCCTTCGAGATGTTCCCACCACAATCCGTCTCCCCGTTCCCGGCCGCTACACCCAACCCTTACCTATTCTACAAAGAAGCACCAGCAGCCATGCAACGACCAAGCTACACGCCCGGCCCGCACGAACAACTCAGAAGCCTCCCCAAACTCGACATCCCTCGCTCAGCATCTGCCGGGCCACAACTGAACAGCTCTCGCTACATGTCACCCCAAACAGCACATCCCACCACAGCAGCAGCCATGACAATCTGCCGCTCAGCCACAGCCTCACCACAAACCATCTACCGTCTCGGAACTCCAGCCTCGGAAATGGACGTACCAATCACAACCTCTCTCCAATCCATGCAAGGCCCCATCTCAAGAGACACATCCCAATCCGTCCCTCCAAGCATGCAATACCGTCCCCAACTCCCACGCTCCCACTCCCGAAAAGAATCCACCTCCTGGCGTCGCCCCTCCTTCCAACTCCCCTCCGTCCAAGAAAACGAAATCCTCTCCTCCCCATCATCCTCCTCCCGTCCATCCCTCACCACCCGAACCCAATCCGGAGACTCCTCCTCCTCCAAAACCTCAGCCTCCGACCCCGCCAAACACTCCCCCGTAATCCGCGACTTCGGCTACGGCCCCGACTGTTCCCATTCCGGCTGGATGAAAAAACGCCAACGCACAAAAATTCTCCGTCACGAATGGTCCGAATCCCATTTCCGCCTCAAAGGCTCAAAACTCACACAACACAACTCCGCTCGTCTTTCCGCGAACATTCAAGACTCGATCAACGTGGATGAGTACTCCGTCGCGTGTAGTTCTGTGGGGCAGAATTCGAAGTTGGCGGCTGCGTTTAAGGCTTTGACGATTAAAGATGAGAGTAAGAAGAAAGGGGGAGATGGTGGGGGGGACGGGACGGGTTTTGCTTTTCAACTTGTTCCTGAAAGGAGTCATTTGAAGGGTCCTGTTGGGGGGAATTCGAAAACTCATCATTTTGCGGTCAAGTCGAAGGATGAGAGGATTGATTGGATGAGGGAGTTGATGCTTGCTAAGGCTAGGGAGCAGAGGGGGAAAGGGTTTGAGGTTGAGGTGAATGGGGAACGGGCTTGAGTCGAATCGAATGCAAGTGAGGAGGCGGCCTCTTTTTTTTTGGTTTTCTGGTTTTCTTCTTGAAAAATATTTTTTTTAGCGTTTAGCGTTATGTTTATATCCGAGTTTCTATAGGTTAGCGATAATGAGTATTGATGGTTGATGATGATGAAAACCAAAAAAAAGAGAAATGAAGTTTATGAGATGGAATGGATTGGATTGGATTAGGAAAACTTTTTTTTGGGCCTTAGGGCTAAGTTACTATCGATACTACTACTACTACTACTTTTTTTTCGGTCTTTGCAGATGGAGGGGAGGCGAAGCGAAGTAGGAAGGGGGAGTATTGTCTGTCTATAGTAGTTGGATAGATCAAAAACGAAACGAAACGAAACGAAACGAAACGTTGATAGAAAATCTTCTTTCACTAGTTACTGCGCGATCTGAGCCTTGTACATATGTACAGTGACGATGTCTACATAGCAACGATATAGACATGTGTTCGCGCTAGATTTTTTGTAAAGGGGCTGTATACACGGAAAAAAAAAATTCAAGTTTATTACACTCGCGCCTGGCCTTATTCCCTGCATCGGGCGCGTAAACAAGTAGTGTGGCGAAGTACAGCACATGTGACATCCGGCTTATCAGGACTATATAAGCGCCGGCAATTGAATTTCTGGTTGGTTGTGGATCGTCTGCGACGATGATAGAACTCCCGGTGGTGTTGGCTTTGATGTTGGATGGTTGGCTGAGAGCTTTTCTTGAGCTTGAGATCATGAGACTTGAGCGGTGTTGGCGAATATATCTCCACAGCTTGGATTTGTGTAGCAGTAGCAGCATGAAGTAGGCGGCTGAGGAGTTGGATTGCTGTATCGTCATCATCGTCGTGGTCCAGATTTGGGTATTTTGCTTCATTTTGAAGTGGCCTCAGGCTTGTGGCCGAAGTCGTGGGATGAGAAGTGGTCAAGTGCAATAGCGATGCGATGCGATGCTCACCACGCAATCTTTCTCTTTCTGCCCGTGTATTTGCTGTTTGCCTTGACGATTCGTCCCTTGTCCTCCATTTGCTTCTTTTTGTGCAAAATCCATTGCTTGCTGCCCTTCTTGACCTCCTTCCTTCTCTTTCGCTCTCTCCTCCTCGCATCCATGACATCGATGTTGTCCATGCCACTGACTGCTCCTGTGACATCTGCTCCACCAACAGTCAGTACGAGGTAGTACTTGACATTCTTCGTCTCCGGGTCGTCTTGCAAGATACCGGCACCGAACCCAGCTTTGATTGCCGCGCTCGAGATCATGCTCTGCTGCTGCGCATTCTTGGGATAGAACTGGCACACTGCCTTCCCGCCTCTCTTCAAAGATGCATACAGCCCGTCAAAGAAGCGCTTGAGTCGTCCTTCAGGCGTCACATCGGAGGTGTCTGCATTGCATAACCATTGAATGGCAGAAATGCTGATCGCTGCATCAAAACTCCCTGCTCGAAAGGGAACTCCTTGTCCGATATCCGCCAACAGCATGTCTCCCTCCACATCTCTTTCTAGTGCTTGCGCAAGCATATCCGAGCTAATGTCCATGCCTACCCACACGTGTGGACCGCCTTCATCTTCGGGTACTTCTGAGAGAATGTCGCCTGACAGTCCTGAGCCACAGCCGACGTCGAGAATGAATGATGGCTCTTGTAAGTCCAATAGTTCGAGTGCGCGGTTGGTCATGTCAGCCTGGATATTTTTTATGCGACTGTTGGTGGTATATTTTCGCGACTCGACATCGTTGTAGAAGACTTCGGGCGGGAGTAGGTCTTCTGGTCTCGACATGCCTGCGACTCTACTGCTATGGTCTGGGAAGGAGTGTGGTAGCCACGGGAGGTGAACAGCGCGACGAGCATGTGAACGACAACGAAGCGGTCGTGTTGTGTTGCTCTGATCGAAAATCGCAACGACAGATCTGTATCGATAGCAGGGATTAAGCAAGGTTGGAGCGGGAGCGGGCCGGGATAAGATCTGTGGGGAAAAGAATGCACGCGAGTTCGCAACGTTTCGCGATGCAATAATAGGCACCTTTAGCAGTAGGTTTGGAAGGGCAGTTGCGCTCCGTGCACGCGGCAGTGGCACTTATTAGCGCCTCAACAAGTGAATAAGCTCCGTACAGTTATCCGTACGTAAAGGATTAAGTAAATAAAAGTATAAGTAACTATACGAGCTCGTACAGTTAACCGTATACGCTTATATAAAGGAAAATACGCTAATTAGACCCTGCGCTAGGCCGTTAGTAGTTAAGTGAAGGAGTGTGCTGAATCCTTAGCTAAATAGTTTAAACCCTATCTCCGCCTTTTATTAAATTCAGTCTTCTAGTATAGTAGCTATTACCTACTAGCTACTATATACCCCTTATATATATATATAAAGACGGAGAGTCTAGCAAGAAGTAGGTAAAGGTCGCTAGGCGGCTACTAAGGGTTATATAGGTTTAGTGGCCTATATACAATCACTTTAAGAGCTATTATAGGAACAGCTACGGAGACCTCGGTAGAGAGCGATTATAATTAGAATTAGGTCCGTACCTCGAGAGAGGTATATATTTAGGCCTTCGAGAGCATAGTAGGTGCTTAGAAGCCTACATTTGTTAGCAAATTGAACACTCTAAGCACTATAGCGGCTCTAGTTACCCTAATATAGACCCTGCCTAGTATTACTACCCTTCTTAATTTAGGTTTCGACTTCTCGCGGAGCGATCTATACCCTCGCTTAGGCCCTCCCTTCTACATACCACTAGCTACCTTCTAAGACTATTATAGTTAACCTTTACTATATAGTCTAACAATAGCTAATCTAGCCGCTTCTAAGGCTATTAGATAGCCTATTTCTACGCTAAATAAGGAGCCTGTTTCTATACTAACTAAGGAGCCTGTTTCTATACTAACTAAGGCGCCTATTTCTACGCTAGGCGGCACTTAAACAGACAGCCAAACTTTAGACTATACTAGCCCTTCTTAAGACGATATTATTGCCGCTTCTATTGCTAAAGAATAAGGTAATAATAATGCTCGAGTTAACGGCAATAGCTATATCTCGTCGGATAGTAAGCTAACGCTTACTAAGGTTAGGGCTGCTATTGCCTACAAACGAGTAACTAGTAAGGTGCGTAAATGGAATAATAGCTTTAAGGCTATTATCCTCGCTAGCTAGCCGTTAGGTAAGCCAACTCTTAGTAATCTAGTAAGGGCTTATCGTATAATAATTAAGCGCCGAGTTGTTACTAGAAGGCTACTAGAAGGAGCTTCCGGTATAGTTGTTATAGAGACACTTTAAGACTAGCTTCTCGATAAGGCTATAGAGACACTGTTTCGACTAGATAAGGTATAGCGTAAGAAGGTATTAAATACTAAGGAGTTAAGGGTATTTAACTATCCTGCTAAGAACATACATAACGCTATACTGTCGACACTGTCTTAACGTAATAACTAGGCTCTAGTAGTGACTCTAGCGGCCGCTCTAGTAGCTCTAACAACGCCTATCTAGCGAGTAGAAGTTATCGACTTATCTACGCTAAGCACGGCCGATAGCAATACTGCTTAGCTTACTAAGCGCCGTCGTTTAGACTTCGAGTCTGAACGACTTTAGCGAGGCTTATAGGCATAAGGAGCTATGCTTAAAGAGGTACTGTCGCCTATGTTTAATATACTAAGAACACTAGCTAAAGGCCGTAGCTTGAGACGTAGAATTAGGTCGCTATTCGAGTCTTTAAGTATCTCTATTATTAGCGCCGCTAGCGAGGCTCCGAGTACATTAAGTCCTACTAGGTTTGTAAGCGCTAGAAGCGACTTAAACGCCGTAATAAGCGCTGCAGTAAAGGAAGTTAAGCTAAAGATAGTACGTTAAATAGATGCTATCTAGTCTAGTATCTAGGCCCTATAGGCGACGATAACCGCTTTGTTACCGTTAAGGCCGTTACTATTGTCTTAAATGGAGCTTCTTTCTAATAATATCGTTATAGGCAGTTAAACGGACCCGATAGATAATAACGACGATAGCGACGGCTTTGTAGACCTTAATGCCCTCGACGATAAGGTATTCTTATAGATAATTTAATATATTAGTATTAGGGTTAGGTTTAGAGTTAGAGTAAAGTAGTTATAGTCCTTCTTGTTATTATAAATGTTATAATTACTTAGTTAATATCCTCTTTTACAATTGCCTATTCGAAATCGTACTCTAGTTCGGTACGAGAGCGCTAAGAGCGTCGTTTTCTATACAAATCGCAGGGTTTAAGCTCGGTCGATAAATCCGGTTTCGATTACTAGTAGCGCGAGGTGAAATAGGGCAGGTATAGTAGTATATAGCTCGAAGCGACGCGGAAAGCCGAGTAGTATCGCTTAGTAAGCGGGCTCCGACAATCTTCGACTCGCTACGTAATAACGTATTACTCGTTTTTGTTTATTTTTAGACGATAGTATATGCCGCATACTAAAGATTATAGCGCATACGAGAAGATTTAAAAATAGTAATGTTATTGTTATGTTTAGAGTCGCAAAGCATCGGTCGCGCTATACTATACGCTAGTACGGATATACCCGTATCTAGCTGTTTCCTAACCTACGACTTCTTCTACCTGTTTCTATATTCCTCTATTATATTAATAACCTTAATCTTATTAGTCTCGTGCGTCGGTATATCCGTACGACTATATCTAAACGAAGCGCCGCTATTAAATACCTCGTCGCCTGCTTAAAAGCCCGCTCTAAAGTGCCTACTATAGCGTAGAAGGTTACTATTAGCTAGTTAAGCTAGATAAGGTACAGGTAGTAGATTAGCTAGGTATTCTCGTACACTCGGAGGCCGTATACCGTATAATCGACTAATCTTATTGCTATAATAGCAGGTTAGGCAATTAGTAAGCAAAGTAGCTACTATATACATCGCCCTAACCGGCATTAACTCGACTCGCAATCTATAGAAATACTTTATTATCTCGAAGTTATTTACTACCTTAGCAAAGCCCTATTCTACCGCCTAACGTATAGCACTTATCTCCTTTGCCGCCGTAGCCTTACTCGCATTTCGAAACTCGCTATTCGTAGTTTTCTAGCTTCCTATAACACTATCGACTATATTATATACTTAGTTACTATATAAGAACACTCGCTCTTCGAAGGGCCGAGGTAGCTATCTAGGCGGCTCGAAATACGACTTCTATACCTTATTAAATCCGCTCTCTAGCATTAGCGTTATATTACCGTAGGAGCTAGGTGCTAGACTATATAGTAATATTATACTATCCGGAAGGACAATACCTTAATACTTGAGGCTATAGAAGTGCTTATAGCTATTATAGAATGGCCGCTAGTTATAAGTCGGTCTATAGCACTTCCGTAAGGTACTATCGATATAACTAAATACGTACTTAATATCGATTAATCTAGCGATAGCAACGGCTATCCGCTATAGGTATTCTTTACTTAATCGATTAAAGTCCTATACTAATCGACCCTTCTAGCGCCTTGCTAATTAAGTGTAAGCAGTATTAAATACGATAGATATCTAACCCTTACTACGACTAAATATCTAGTATAGGTTGCGCTAATAGCCTAGATTTAAGAGCCTTCTATATACTATATATAGCACTATTGTTAGATCGCACTATATATAGTTTAGTAGTTTAATAGACCTAATATCTAGCAATTTAGTTAATTCTAGCACCTGTTGCTTAGTAAAGTAGAAGTTACCTTAGAAGTTAGTATTAGGGTATGTTTCTAGTAACTACTACTTATCCTTTAGATACTCTCGCGGCTCTTTATATAGCCTATTATTGCGAGCCTGTCTATACTAGTATTTACGCTTAGTCTTATTATCTCGGCGAATAGCTAGATCTAGTAGATTGTCTACCTTAGAAGCTAATATAGCCGCCGTAGTTGCTAATATTCTACCGCAAATAGCCGCTATATCTTCTTCGAGTTTACTGTCTGTTAAGAAGCCGTCCGAGTCGTACTGCGCTATAGTATGCTGTCGCAATTAACGTCTATTCTATAGTGCTAATTATAGTAAGGTCTACGACCCCGGTCGCTTCTTAGTACCTCCTTTATTTACTAAGTAATCGTTTAGTAGACGCTACTAAAACCTACTGCTGAACCTCAAATTGGCCGTTATTCTGGTTATTCACTTTCCGCCGCTAAAACGACGCTATTCGCGGCTTCTTATATATGAGAAACGGCCGGAAACCTACTGCTAAAGGTGCCTAATAATGCGAAAGTCTCTCATGTTTGCATCTCAACCCGACAATCCTCGACCATGTGGATACTGCCGTTGCTGGCGAGTCGAATGAATCACACATCTGTCACTCAAATGCTAATGAATGCTGCAGGGCTATCTCGGCCTGCTCCTCGGATTCCTCTTCCTGACCCTCGCTATAGCCAGCGGGCTTTACTATCTGTCCGAACTGGTGGAAGAACACACAGTCCTATCCAAGAAACTCCTCTACCAACTCATATATGCTGTTGTCGCGATCCAATTGCTCCTAGCAGTCGTTGACCGATTTCCTCTATGGATATCGCTGTTCAGCATTGCTAGCCATGGAGTGTACAGCTTGAACTTGCGCCGCTTCCCAGTAGTCAAGCTCACCGAACCCGTCTTCCTCGCCTCTTGCGCATTGGTACTGGTAAACCACTGGCTATGGTTCCAACACTTCTCCAATCCGCCAATGACGACGTTCGGATCACCGGGACGATATTCCTACTACGAGACGCGCGACATGCCAACCTTTACCGAAATCGCCAGCTTCTTCGGCCTGAACGTATGGCTGGTACCATTCGCGCTGTTCGTCAGCTTGAGCGCCGGCGAGAATGTGCTTCCGAGTATGGGCAGCGAGTATGCGACCGGACAGGGAAGCAGCTTCATCAGTCCAGGGAGGGATGCTGCACCGAGCGCAAGCATGAGTGGAATGAATGGTGGTGATATGGGCCAAATCAGGACGAGGCATAAGAGAAGCAATACCCAGACCGGCATGGCGAAGGCCGCTGTAAATGGTGTGAGAGATTGGGTGGGCGAGACTGGAGAGCTGATGGGCTTCTGGAAGGGTGACAGGACAAGGCCTTTATGATACGATTCAAAGATTTGATACGATATGAATGGAAACAGTCCGAAGGAGAGCTGAAGCTCATTCCACGTTCATCTCGACGAGGCCCGTGCTACTCAGCTTTCATCGTGTTGTTCGGAGATGTGGCCATTGCACGGCCCACAATTCGCCAAAAGATTGACAATCGGATGGCTAACAACAGGGAGAGCCCAGCTTCAGAGATCTCCAGACCTCTGTGAGGAGACTGAATATCAGCCCATTGAGCATGCGTCAGCTCACCCTGCGACTTACAACTCCTCCATCAGACCATGAATAACTGGCAATTGTTCTGGCAATTCATCTCGCAATGCATGTCTCCACCTCAACTCGGTGCGAAGGAAAACCAACGTCTGCGGACTCAGGAGTCATCCATCAAGAATATCAACTATTACATCTCTAAGTGACTCTCCTTCAAGAAGTTCAGAGAGACATGAAATTCCCTAACTCGCAGAACCTAGCGCAACCATGGTCAATAGCATACGACGAGAGCACGCTATATCCGATTCGCAGGTCTGCGCTTTTCATATCACGAGAAACCCTCGGAAGGTCCGCCTACTCGGAACTGTGTCTGCGAGAAGTCTGCATTGATGCATGTCAGCACGAATTTTCGACGTTCGTTGAAAATGTATGCGCTGTTGTTCTTGCTGCTGCCAGTCCTCTGAAAAATCGAAGCACGGCTAGATCAATGATTTGATCGTGTGTATTTTCAAGAAATGTTCGGATGACGAGTGTGTTGCAGCATTGGATGACACGGGAGCAGGACTTAGGTCGCCTTCTTGAACAGTGTCACATCAGACCAAGGGATCAGATACTCGATAACTTGCTAGCGGAAGCCTGGACACTTCTAAATTGTACGAGATTACTGATCTCATAGATACGAACTATCGTGGTCCGTTGACTAAGAGCCAGAAATTCACGTGTTGTCGATATTGTCCCGCAAAGAGCTCCCGTCTGGTCAAGTGCCGTGGCATGAGACTCAATCACGCCTTTACGGCCTCTCGCTGACTCCCTCTTCGCATCACCCCACTAGACTATTATTATTGCAGTCGATGCCTCCCACTCCTTGTGCTCTTACAAATGTAACCTTGCATCCCACCACGTCCTTCAGTCATAATGCTTGACAATCTCAGGCTCTTTCATCTGTTATTACGGATCTTCTGATGGATGGTCTCACACCTTACCCCAGTCCAAGCTACGTAGGTTCACCGGGGCCCACGACCACATAACCATGTCGCCATCCCATCCTTGGTCGCCACACTTCCTAATCCGATAGCCTTTATCGCCCAAATCCTGTCTGTGACTTGCATAACTCAAAAGTCTCGAATCGTGGGGCGACTGTTGGATTTTCCAACCAGCAGGCATGCCATGTGTGATGAAGCTTGACTTAAGGGAAGGGGAAGTGGTATTTAGCTGGAATTTTCTGTTTATGCAGGCAGGCTAGGACTAGTCTCGACCCCGCTTGTCGCTAGGGAGGACGGCGTGAGAGAACAGATAGGCGATTGTCGGATTCTTGGCCTCTTCCTTGCAAATAGAACTGTATATGCCGAAATGCTGGGCCATATTTCTTATCAGCTTAATGGTAGATACCTGAGCGTGTAAAAGTAGCGAGAAATGTTTTTCATGGCTTTGAGGATTCATCCTCAGCTTGATGTGGTGATTGTCGTCCAATCTGACCATTGAGCCAAGGGCAATTGTTTTGATTGAATCTGTAATCTTGAAAAGCGGAGTCGATATAGCGGTCTCGTCCTCCCAACGGTGTAAAGTACGATGCTCGCTCCGTATCAAAGCGAACGCAATGCCAAAAGGCGGCTAAGAGTGCAAAGAATCTGGTAACGACTTCACTATTCTATACCATACTATACATGTATTTCCACAAATGCTTTTTGTTTCAGAGCAGAAAATCATCATGCCTCGACGGGCACAAGACCCATATGCTGAATTTCCCACCCCACCTCCTCCTCAACGAACTTCTTACCCTCCTTTTTGCCCAAGATAGTGGTATAACTCTCATGCCGCACCTTCTCCGCCAAACTCTCCGCCGCATCCTTGACTTGCGCGACGGTAGTATCAAGCAGCCACTCTCTCCTTTGCTGATCGAGATCTTGGGTAATGCCTTGCAGGAATTGACTCAAGCCTTCTTCATTGATACTTTGAGGTGCGTCTAGTGCTTGGAAGACGGACAATTTGGCTTCTTCGAGATCTCTCTCCGTCCACTCTTTCTCGGCGGCCCATCTCATTGTCTCGTTGTAGATGTTGAGGGTGTTGTCGGGATTGGGATCGCGGTAGGAGTACATGAGGAAACTTCCTTCAAGGCCGCGGGAGAGGGCGCCTCCGCCGTAGGCACCGCCTTTTTCTCGAATTTCGTGGTGGAGATGTTTGTGTGTGAGGAGTTGGGCGAGAATGGAGATGGGAGCTGTCCATTGGGCGGTGAAGGGGCCTGTGGGAACGGCGAGGGCGGAGTAGGAGACTTGGTATGGGAGGTCGAAGAGGGTTTTGCGCGATCGTTGTGGTGGGGTTGTAGTGATTGAGCCTGAGAGGAGACTCGAAGATGGGGTTGAGATGGAAGAGGCGGAGACTGTGTTGATGAATGACTGCAGCGCTGCTTCGTTGCTTGATGCAGCATCTGTGCCGCAGGTGAGTGCGACTCGTAGACCGCCGTTTTGTACGTTGGTGACTGCTAAGGCCTGGATGGTCTTGAGCTTGTTGATGAGTTGCTGCATCTCTTCTGGCTTCTCCTCAGCCGCCGCGAGTTGCGTGATCAGCTTCACCTGTGTAAGGCCGCCGAATTGCTCGTCGATAAAGCTCTTGGTGCTGAGGGCTGAAGTGGAGTACTTCATTGCGTATCTGTGTCCGCTGGAAGCCACTCCATCGACCGCACCACTTGCGTCTGTCTGCAACAATTGTCTAATCATCTTGTGTGCGTTTGGCGAATCGAAGTCTGTCTCTAATAGAACTGTCTGTAGAAGCTCGAACATGGCAGGAATGTTGCGATCAAAGGCGAAGCCAGTCAGACCAAGTCCTTGCTCGTATGCCTGCGTGTCGTACGGAGAAGTCGTGACATGCGTACCGAAGCTGATGCCGCCAGTCTTGGCCTTGATCTCGTCTTCAATCTCGCCCATGGTCTTGTTCTTTGTGCCAATGCGCATGAGAGTATCGCAGAAGAGTGGCACCAACATGCGAAGCTCGTCAGGCAGGTCTTCAAACAAAGACAGTGCGCGGAAGTATGTGAGACCATTCGTAGGCTTGTTCACCCACTGGATTTTAACGTTGTCGACTGTGCTTTCTCTCGTGTCGACTGGCTTGGCTCGTCTGGAGATGTCGGAAGCATGGAGGGTTGGTAAGGAATCCAGAGGCTGGTTGCGTCCATCGTCTTGCTCTTTCACTAGTTCAAGCTCTCGTTCTCGCAGCTGCTTGTACGCTTCCTGCGCGCTGGGATAGCTCTTCACCGCCTCTGCAATCTTCTCTTTCAACCTGTTGGCTTCCTCAGCGGCGACATCATCTGCATAGCTAGTGCTTGGCTCCATGGTGAACGTCAGTGTGTTATCAGTCAAGAGATATTTCTCGAGCAATCCCTCGAGGTATCCGGGCTGTGCGTATTTGACCTTGAACGCATCGACCAGCGCATTGTAGGCCATCGATTCGAAAGGATCTCTGCCGTTGAACCATGTCGTAGCAAGACGCTGAACCACACCGAGGCCGAATCGTGCTGTCTTATGCTTCAAGCCAAGTTCCATCTGGTGCAGAAGTGCATCGACTTTGTGTTTTTCCAGGCCCTTTGCAACCTGTTCCTTTATCGTTGTGAAGATGGCCTCCCTTACCTTGGGTACATTCTCCTGCTTGACGCCGTCTAAGCCGACGGAGAAGACGATCTTCGTGCCTTGTGTATCAGCTCCCGTGTTTGGCGAGAAGTTGTTGCCCAAGCCGGATTGAATTAGTGCTTCGAACAGCGGCGAGCCATAGCCATCCATCAGGATATTCAGCGCAGCCTGGAACGCAAACGTTTCCACAATATCGCTGGTATCGACCGTCACCCAAGTGGTCGACGTCTTGTACTGGGCATTTGGAGGCGTGAGAGGATCTACAGGACCTTGCTCGGTGACGTACATCGGTCCATTGATCGTGATTGGGTTCTTCAGATCTTGGTCGACCTCTCTCTTCTCGAATTTCGATAGTTGCTCTCCCAAGAATCGAAGATGGCTCTCGACTGGCTGGTCGCCATAGGTGAAGATCTTGCTGTTGCTTGGGTGGTAGTGCTCGGCGTGGAACTTCTTCAGCTGCTCGTAAGTGAGGTTGGTCATTTCACGAGGATCACCACCACTATTGTTGATGTCTGGGTTGATGTGGCGCAGGTATCGCACGTAGAAAAGATACGATGCGTCTGAAAGCTGGCCCTTCATCTCGTTGTAGACCACGCCCTTGAACACCAGATCACTGCCATTCTCATCTTTCGCAGGTGCTGCAGGATTCTCCGGTCCTATCCGCCATCCTTCTTGTGCAAAGTCCGACCTCTTGAGCAAAGGATGGAGAGTCGCGTCGACATAGACTCCCATCAAATTCTTGAAGTCCTGGGCATTGGTGGTGGCGAAAGGGTAGTAGGTGTGATCTGAAGAAGTAAAGGCGTTCATGAAATTTTGGAGAGAGCGCGGCATCATCTTGAAGAAAGGATCGCGAACAGGGTACCTACCAATACCATCAGCCTACATGCTACCTACATTCGCGCCGTCTGTACGTACTTCTCCGACCCGCAGAGCGTGGTGTGCTCGAGGATGTGAGGCACTCCAGTGGCGTCGGGCGGATTCGTCTTGAATCCAATATTGAACGCATTATTCTGGTCGTCTCTTGCCACATGCAGATAGTCTGCGCCGGTCTTGTCATGCTTGAATTGCAGGGCGGACAGTTCCAGCTCGCTGAAGTGCTGCGATCGCTGGAGCGTGAAGCCATGGAGGCTCTCTCCAGGCTTCGGGTAGTTGCTGAGCTCTGTGATCGAGGCATAGTGGCGCCGGCCGATGCCATGTATTCGAGGGTGGAGTCGGACGATGCGAGGCGACCGCACGGAGGTGCGCAGTGCTGCGAACATGGACGATGGATGGATGTAAGGGGATGTTTTCCGCAGGACAGAATAACACATGTACTGCTGCCGAGTGCCATGACGAACCCTAGCCTCACTAGCGTGGAGATGGGCAAAACGAATACTATTGGACAGTTTGATCCTGCTCTGCCGCTCTGTGATGACCTCGACACTGAAGACTGTGCATATCCAGCATCTCCCAGAACGGAAGCATCGATTGGAATGGTCGTGGGAGGTGAATTGGTGAAGAACGCCCCGGTCAGCCATACCAGCAGACTTCTTGGCAGTCGCCATCCCATCCCAGTCCTCCTTCTCCGGAGCCGAGTCGCCTTGCAGCATCAGCCTCCACTCGCCCAAGCACAAGCACACGCACACGCAGAGCATTCTACGCCACAGCATCTCCGGCCCCATCCTCAGCGATCCATATCACGCGACCAGCAGCATTTCCAGCACTGCCATACTGTGGGACAGCGAAGATTGAGGCACGAAACGCGCCGCGCCCGGATGGTGTCGACGACGGCGAAAGCAAATCCTGCCGTCGGACCTCCCTCAAGACCGGCGGCGACTCAGTCTGCGCATCTCGAACACAGTACTTGCAGCATTGATATCCAATCGTATCCGGCGAACCACTAGACTGCCACCTGCTCGCGCGAACAGTGGGCCATCTTGCACCCTGTGATGGCGGCAATTGCGAACCAGCACCAACAGCCAGTGCCCGCCTCGAGTAGTAATTCTAGAAACTCGCCCTCGAACGCCGGAGACTACTCGCGCGATGCCTCAGCGTCAGACCCCTCAATCGCCGCTCCGCCGCCTCCACCGACGACTGCTCCCGGCCCCGCAAAAGGAAAGGGCAAGGCGAAGAAGGGCAGCACGAACTCGACCAACCCAGACGACGCCCATCGCGCATTGCTCTCCAAGATTTCGCAGCTCGAGTCGACAAATGCCGAGGATGCGCACCAAAATGCAGAAATCGAGGCAGAGGTGAAGAAAGCCAACAGGGATCTCTCGCAGCTGCTCAACACCATGGAACCACATCAAAGCAAGTCGGATATCCTCCAGCGCAAATACAGCGAGCTCCTGGCAGACATGAAGCGGACGGAGCGTGAGCATGTCAAGGCGAAGAAGCGTGGCGATCAATTGCAGAAAGAGAAGGAGGAAGTAAGCAAGGAGAGGACGAAAGAGCGCAGCCTCAAGGAGAAGCTGGAAAAGCTCAGTCGAGAGCTGACGCGCGAAAATAAGAAGCTGAAAGATGACTACCGGGATCTCAAGGAAAATTCGTCCAACCGTAACGAGGAACTGCACCGTAGATTGGAAGGTCTGATCGTGGACGTGGAAGAGGTGGTACTTGATAAGCGAGCACCCGAACGGCAAAGCGCAGAGCTGGAGCAAGACAAACTCTTCCGAGAGAAGTTCACCTCATTTTTACACCAATACGAGTTACGGGAACTGCACTTCCAGTCAACGCTCAGGGTGAAGGATTTGGAGATACAGTACCACATCGCACGGCACGATGCTCTGAAAAAGGCGCAAGAGAGCGAGCTGAGCAAGAGCCACCAGTTGACAAGACAGGTGAGCACTTTCAGCCAGACGGAGAACGAGCTGCGAGGGCAATTGAACGTCTATGTGGAGAAGTTCAAGCAGGTATGTCGACCACCAAATCGCATCCGGCACGACGATTCTACACATCCCGTTACGCTCGCATATCCGCCACCCTGAATGCTGTATTTGCTTGGTAACTGACTGACCCCAAAGCAGGTGGAAGACACGCTTAACAACAGCAACGACTTGTTTTTGACCTTCCGCAAGGAGATGGAGGAGATGTCGAAGAAGACGAAGCGATTAGAGAAGGAGAACCTTAATCTAACTCGGAAGCAGGAGGCGACCAACAAGAACATTTTCCAAATGGCCGAGGAACGATCGCAAAGTCAGCAGACCATAGATCGACTTACTAGAGAGAACGAGAAGCTAAAGAAGTTGTGCCGCGCCATGCAAAACAACGGATACGGCAACGCCAACATGGCGCAACCTGGCCAAGCCCACGCCGGAGCGGATGAGTTCGACGAAGGCCTGGAAGGCGAGACAGAAAGCGAGTACGAAGATGAGGAGTACGACGAAGACGAAGAGGGCGAATACGATGACGACACGGAAGACGAGGGTCTTGAAGTCATCGAATCTCGAGCTCCCGTTAGATACGGTCCAGTACCACCTCCTCCGCCACCTCAGGACATGCCGAATGGTAAGGCCAGGATGTCTGCGCCGCAACCGCAGCAGGCACAGACGGTGCAAGTTAATGGCACGCAGGTTAATGGCCAGGCGGTCAGGCATTGAGAGGGCGCGACACTTGTACATCATCATCATCATCATCATCATCATCCACCACACCTATTGCTGCGATTCTTCTGCTATTCTTCCGCCGCCAGACAGCAAATGTACAAACGAAGTCCTTCCGACACTCACATCCGACCAGTTTCCAAATCTTCGCAGCACATCATCACATCATCACCGGTGAGGTTGTTTTCGCATCCAAGGCAACCACGCTAGCGCACTGGTGCAACGTCCCTAACCCACCTCCCTTCAAATTCCCTCTTCCCGTCTCCTCTTCTTCTCTTCTGCACACACATGGCGCTTTAGAACAGATATCGCCCACTGCTCTCTCATCTCAATCCTTCCAAGGTTTGTGAATGTCTCTTACAGCAGTGAGGTCACTTTTACCAAGCGCAGAACAAAACACTTTGTGTCGGAAATTCGAAAAGTACGGAATCAACCCGACGTACTGCGGTCGAGGATGGAAATTCGGGGGTTCGCACTTGGTAACCACGGCCTTTTCAGACCCGCTTGTAGCCCTTGAGGTCAATGGGTGGCGGACTAAAGGTTTGAGGACATTCTTTAATGGAGATGAGAGGGGGTTGTGGGAGAGGGATTTGGTGGCTTTGTTGAGCGCGTGTGTAGGAAAGGCGATGAGTGATGGGGTGGAGAGTGGGTGGTGAACATTTCATAGCTTTCGTTACGATGCGATTATGACTTGCCATCTCCCCATATCTGCACTTCAACTTCAACTTCAATACTGAGCCTGCGGTATGTGGCCACCAGAACGAGGGCTCTCCTGCCGTGATTGACGGCGAGCAGCGGCTACCTCAGAATCATGGTCGCGCCTGTCATGCGGCTCACCTGGCACACTGCAGAGCAAGAGGAGGTGACTGGACCTACTTTGGAATGCTTCTCCCTCTCCCTCTCTCACACTCTGCTTACAGACACGCATCAACAGCATCGAGCATTCTTCACATTCGCATTGGAACCACAGCTTACCCGGCAGCATTCGTAACGTCAAGTATTCTTTTCACAAGGCCACATCAACAGACAGGCACATGCAATATGGATGACTCGCGGCGCATCAGAGCATCACTCATAGACCTTGATGATTACAGGTCTTGCAGTGAGCGCTCCATGCCGGTACTCTCCATCGGTAAGGACCCGTCTTTGTTTCTTTCATACGCGTTTGCTCATTCTCGCAGATTTTCGACGTGCTTCACATCCGTCCTCGCCATATCACCGCAACACTCCCGAGGCTATCATCGAATCCCTTGGTCCCAACGACATCATTGGTTTGCACAACATTGCCAAGCACGAGGTGATCGATCTTGTGGACCGTGTGAATGCCAAAACATTCCGACGGAGCAAGAAGTGGGCATTCGTCGGTCTGGGCCCCGAGGAGGAGGAGGATGAGGATGAGGATGAACCATCATCGTTTGTATACAGTCCCATATTGTACCGGCCTTCAAGATGGCAGGATCTTCACCTGACTGTCAGTTGGGGCGCTGTACCAAACTCGGATGACATTCGCGACGCAGCCGTCACCCTTTGCTGCTTGAGACATATTCAGAGTGAACTGAGTATTGGCGCAGCGAACAATTACGCCAGTCGCAACTACAGTGCCCATGCATTCCCGCTCGTGGCACCGGTCCTCGGTGGGCGATTTGCAAAGTCAACGCGAAAAAGACTGCTCAAAATCAGGGAAGAAGCGTGCTTCAAAGCAATCGCCGGAGGCACCGACTCTGAAAGTTCGAAAGATGTCTGCCAATATCTGACGGGTTCCTTCATTCCATTCTACGATTCCGTACTGAGTAAACCAGTCGGCAATATCCCTGTCCCGGTCAAATTCTCGGCCTAGCAGGCCCAGAGGGCGAAGAGGATGAACAGCGCAAGACCCAAGAGTACACCCAGTCGTACATCCAATCGTACACCCAATCGTACACCCGATCGTACACCCGATCGTACACCCGATCGTACACCCGATCGTACACCCAATCAAGATGTCTGTCACGCCGAGGATCGGCCTGCTGTCTCTCCTCCTGATGTCGAAAGCTTGGCGAACACGCTCAACGGAAGTATGTGCGGCCTGGACGATGGGCCTACGCTTTCCGGTATCCAGCTTGGGACGAAGCCGTCTAGCTGGCGGGAGACTCTACCGACTTCGCCCCAGTCCATCATCGGCGCAATCGCAGCTATTTGCGTTATCTGGCTCGCTGTATTCTGTCTCTTTCGATATTGCTTTGCACGACGTGCGAGGAAAATCAAATCCGACTAGAGCCATGGGTGGTGGCCCACGAGCCCCGAGAAGAAGAACCGGAGGAGAACAAAGGGCATCGCTCGTTGGCTATTCATACCGCACACACTCATTGTCGGCATTATGGTTTAAGCAAAGCGGAGGAATGTACCTTGCAGATCGTTCGGCCAATGTGGTCTGGGCGACTCGTACTCTGTTTTACCGTCACTAGGACAATGGTGTAGTTCATAAATGGTTTGAGATGCTTGATCACGAAACAGTGTTCTGGGCGCATCCTGTCGTGTATTCACAATGCATCATGAAGCCTCGATGTCGCCAGTCCAGGCTGTCTTGGACACTGATGTGCTTGCGAAGCAGAAGCAGTATTCTCGATGGTATCAGAATCTCTGCGTCGCCATGGTCCAGAACCAGACTCCGTGATCGATCGACGTGCAAAGCAGGCTCCTGTAATCAGCTTCTGTTGCTTGAAGTGGATGACATGGCTGCTCAATGATGGCGAGTGTGACTAGGGTACTTACTGTAGTAAAGAATTCAATGCTGTAGTTCTACTACTTCGGGCGTGAAGGTCTGTTTGTCCGCTTCTGAGGAGAGAGACAATCGCTGTAGACTATCTTCTTTAGCGCAGCTTTCGCTAACAAAAGACACCATCAGTTGTCGTAGACCTGCTAGTCTGGACTCTGCAGCGTTGTGGTGATTGGTGGAGGCATTGATGAATGGAGATGGGCGTGCTGTGAATGGTTCGGCGGCAGCCGGCGCTAGCGTTTGGTTTCCTTGGCTTCTTCTGCTTTTCCTTCCCTCCGTTTACAAATCTTCAGACAACGAAGCATCGAAATATTGTAACGCCAGCTGCATCAAACAGAGCCATGTCGGAGTCCATAACCTACACGACTGCTGATCGACCTACGCGTGCATTGTCGCCATCATCATGGCCTTTACGATAGCACATTGGATGTGCCATACCATTGGCACGATCTTCACGTTGTTCGGAGTGGTGCTTGTAACCGTCATCATCCATCGACTATGTTTCCATCCTCTCCATCGCGTACCGGGACCGAAGCTCGCAGCAGTTTCGAACACATGGCACGCATATCACGCCCGCAATGGTCGTATGATGAGTCTGGGCCGAACGCTGCATGCAACCTATGGCCCAGTCGTCCGAGTCGGACCGAACGAAGTATGGCTGAACAGCAAAGAAGCATTCTCCAAGATCTACAGCGCGACCCATGGCTTTGAAAAGTCCACCTTCTACATCGCCTTGGCTTTGAAGAGACCAGAGTTGACTCGCACATTGAGCCTCAGCTTTCCAGATACTCTTGACTTGCTCGGAGAATTTGACATGGAACGATATAGACTTCAGAGGCGCCTTATCGGACACATCTACTCCAGACGGAATCTTCTCAAGTATGAGGGGACAGTAGACGCGGTTATGGCTGGCGTCGTGGAACATCTTCGGACTCTTTTAGGCGCGGAAGTTGACCTGAAAGAGTGGATGCATATCATTACAGTCGAGTGCCTCAGTGCTATCGTCCTTTCCTGGTCACCTGGCTATCTACGCGCAGGCACAGACTTCGGCTCAAGCGGGCACTCCTATCTAGGCTGGCGCAGAAAAAGTGTATTCGGTCTCTTCCCAACTGCAGAAATCATGGACAATTATTCGCGATCTTTGGGTCGACTATTTGCAAAGGTATGGGGGCTGACTTTCACTCCTCCCGCGAACTTCAAGCCTTTCTTCCCTGCTGTCGGTAATAAATGCATGCGCCGAATCAATGCAGCACTGAGATCGAAGCCCCCGAACGATAAGCGCAGAGACCTGGCTTACGAACTCATTGAACTCCACAAGAGTAGACCGGAGTTCAAAAGCACGTATCTCAAACGCATGGTCATGACTAATTTCGGGGCTGGCCACGAGACTACCACATCGACGTTGATTGCAGTGCTTTCCATGCTGGGCTCGCATGCCGAGGCGCAAGACCAAGTACGAGACGAAGTACAGGACTACGCCAGAATAGATTGCTACGCTAATGCTTGCACCCTGACATACACTCAAGCTTGCATCAAGGAAGCGCAGCGCCTGCATCCAGTCATCGGGATGAGCTTGTCCAGAACAGTGCCAGCAAATGGGACGGAAATTGACGGCTTCTACTTTCCACCAGGCACGACCGTTGGTTGTAGTCCAGTAGCACTGCATCAAAATCCTGAGATTTTTGGACTCGACGCTAGGGACTTCAGACCGGATCGATGGCTGAAGGAGGATGACGCCAAGATCATGGATCGCTACAATCTGATTTGGGGTGGAGGTGCACGAACTTGTCCCGGACGAGCTCTTGCTGAGATGATCGTCCAGCGGGTGGTATCAACGCTCATCAAAGAGTTCGAAATCAAGGTCTCTATGCCTGCCGAGGAGGATATGCCGATGTTCTTCATGGCAATGCTGACCCGTGTCAAAGCATGCTTTCGTGCAAGAGAGGCAAACCCTCTATCGGGGGGCTGATGTCGCCATCGCACTATCTAGCTGTGTTTGAGCCATTCGCGTTCGTCGACTCAGCCACAGGATGGTGCGAAGAGCGCTCGACATCTGGAGCGTGGCCCTCGACATCCGGAACACGGCCCACAGGATGCTGCACCGAGCTCTCGACATCTGGAACACGGCCCACAGTCTGCAGAAATGCCATTTCATGATCATCTTGTCCGACTCCGCTTGGCGGCTCCTGCATTCCTTTGTATGGTCCAAACTTCTCACAGATGTCCAAGAACTTGTCATGGAATTGGTAGAACAGGACACCAGCAAGCATAACAGCCCACTCAATGGCAGACATTGTTCCAAACACCTATGCAGAGGGTCAGCTCACATCGAAAATGCGATCGAGACGACTTACCGCTTCTGGACCAACTGCTGCCAACCAGTCGTTGCACAGGAAGCTGCATATAACAGCGATGATATTGCGAATGATGAAGAGCGTCACCATCGCCTCTGCGGTAAGTTCCCGATAACAGTCGACGTTGTAAGTCACGACAACATTCCCAACAGTGTTGAATCCGAAAGAGTGCAACAGATATCCAAACGCCGGTCCAACCCAGAATCTCCTTTTAGCGATGAGAATGCCGTAGATGAGCAATCCAGGCGGTGCCAAAAGGCCAGGCACGACAAGTCCAACAAGTCGACGAGGTGGCCCGGTTTTAAGACGTCGGTGCAACCAGCTCTGCCATTTCGAGTCTGAGTCCGGGTTCACAACCAAATCCAGGAGTTTCCCGCCAAACCACAGCGCAAACATCGCGCCGATCCAACCGGCGACGTGGAATGTGCCAGCCTTTCCAATCGGCCAGCTGTAAGGTGGTGCAGTAAACCATTGTCCCACTGTGATCTGTATAATGATGGTCCATCCTACAAAGACCCCGACCACGATGCCCGCAAAAAGTACCTGAGGGTAGCAGGACATGTACAGTAAGTCCAGCAACGTCTCCTTGAACACCTGCACCTTAGCTTTCCTCGTAAGCGCCCTCGACACACTGAGATGTTGCACCCAAGTCAATTCCTTCGGTGGCGGAAACTTGGGAACTCTATCCTCCAAATACGTCGTCTCATGCACAAAAAAGAAAGCCAGCACGAATACGACCCCAAAAGCAATAGCCATCCACCCAGGAATCCACCACCACTGCCGACCCTGCACAACAAAAGCATTAATCATCGGCCCCAGAAAAATCCCAGAAGCCAAAGAAATATGAAACCATGCCAGATAATACGCTCGCTCGTGGAGTTTAAACAAATCAAACACCACACTCGGAACAGTCGCATCAGCCGCCGCAGCACCGAGTCCAGAAACGATCCTGGATCCTAACAGACTTCCCCAAGATGTCGCTTGATTACTCCAAAGATTCGCGAACACCAAAATCAAAATCGCAGAAAGGTAAACCGGTCGTTTCCCTACGACTCGCATCAAAGGAATCCAGAATAAATTCCCCAGACCAAAAGCCAACACGTTGAAATTCGTGAGCCATGTCGCGTGGTTTGCGTCGTTGTGGAAGTATGCTGCGAGGGGTCGGACGGCTACGGTGAAGCAGGAGGCGTTGACGTTGGCCATGAAGGTGAAGAGACAGATTGTGGCGTAGGTTCTCAATTTGTGGGGGTCTGACCAGCGGAGGGGGTCGTTGGGGTCGTTGAGTTCGGAGAAGGAGGCGCGGCGCGGAGGGGGGAGGATGGCGTTTCCGAATGTGTGTTTTACGCGCTGCCATACGGTGGTTCGGGGTTGGGTTGCGGCGTTGGGCTGGTGTCGAGACGAGGTTGGGATTGGTGGTGATGATGGACCGGCATTGCTCTCCAGGGGTATTGGTGAATTTTGCCCTGGCGAGATGGTGTCAGGATTTGGCTCTTGTGTTTCAGGTGCGAGAGATACGCGGCGACCTGTGTCGATGTTCATGGTGTTTCAATCAGTAGGGGAAGGTGGGTGCACGATGAGGTACGGAGAGGTTGATGAGCAGTAGCAACACAAGCATATCGACCATTTGAGTCGGAAAAGGGCAATCCGGTAGTATCTGGTGTGTCACAAGATTCGAGTTTGCTCACTTCATGGTGAATACAGATTGTAGGTGTGGTGAGATCTGGGCAAACGCGATTCAATCGATTAGTTGTTAGCGTGCAATGCAGTACTCAACGGTCTGGCTCTAAGTGCATCATCAACTTCCTTCTGAGCATCATACCCATACAGCCATGGCTGCACTTCAGGACACTGCCATCGCGATGGAAATTTGACATCGATGGGCTTGCCCAATTGTGCCAGCATCAGCTCATCTCGCGCTTGCTGCTCAGGTCCATCGACCATGTGGAAGTCATGCCGCTGAGCAAACGTTTCACGCACAATTGCTTCGCCTCGCTTCTTTCGTAATTGCTCGTACAATCGCAGAGCCGCTGGCAATTGCTCCCGTGACTCTAATGCAGCAAGCACATTTCCCAAAACTGCACCGTCTTCCATAGAGCTGTTCGCACCTTGCGCAAGGTACGGAAGCATCGGATGGCATGCATCGCCGACGAAAACAAAGTTGGACTTGGGACTGATCCAACTGTCCAGCTCCGGTCGATGCATGAGCTTCCATTTATCCACGGTCTTGACGTGGTCTAGGAAGCGATTGAGTACTGGATCCCAATTGTTGAAGATTGCTCGCATTTCTTCGGTATCGCCAGGTTGTCTTGCCACTTCGGGAGGCAGGTTGTCCGGGACTAGCAGCACAATATTCGACATGGTCCCATTTCTGACGGAATATGCCACGACGTGTGCCTCAGGCCCAACCCAAAATTGGCAGCTGGGGTTTGAGATTATGTCTCGCAGCTCTTGATCTTGCACATCATCGACATGCAGAACGATCCGATATGCCAGATCGCCAGTCGGCAAGGGGGCATCCTCTTTCCGACCTTGTGCTGCTAGGAACTTCTGTCGGCACTTCGACCACAGCCCGTCTGCACCGACGATCAGATCCGCCTGCAACGTCTCGCCATTCGTCAGCGTAATTGTCGTTTTGTCGAAATCAATGTCTTCGACTCTTGATCCCAATCGTATTTCTACGCCCAACTCTTTTGCTCGTTCAGCCAAGGCCTGCTGAACATCGACTCGGTGCAGATCCCAGAAAGGCGCATCGTACTTCTTCCGCATCTCGCCATTGAAGTCGTCCGTCCTCGCTAGCACTTTCCCATCCGACCATCTCCGTACCTGCAGGAAAGTGGGCTCGGCCGCCTTGAACGCCAGCTGGTCGAGAATGCCAAATTGCTTGAAGACTTTGCTGCCGTTCGGGGTAATCTGGAAACCCGCTCCAATCTCTGCTAGTTGCCTCGCAGCCTCGAGTACCACGACTTTGTGACCAGCCAGAGCACATGAGACGGCGACAGAAAGGCCACTCATGCCAGCTCCGACGACCTTGATGTCAAGGGGGGCTTTGGTCGTTCGTTGTGTAGCCATGGTGTGAAGATGTGGGATTGTAAGAAGTTAACGTTAGCAAGACCTACCTCGACACTCTCCCGTATGCAGGCAGACCTATATGTGAGCACAAGACGAGAATGCTGTGGCAGTTTTGGAGACGCGAAAAACACCGATCCGTCAACCTCCACAAGGTCGGGGTCGGGGCTCGGGGTGTGAGTGGAGCGACTTAGGGCCGGCCGCTTGCTGCCGAATGGTCTTGCCGTCCTGCATTTCGCCTTTCCACCTGCAACCTCCGTCCTCTCGCACGTCCGCGCGGCGTTATGCTCGCTCAATTGTATCGCGAGCCGGTCAGCTGTCCGTCGAGCACTCGACTCGGTCCTTTGACGTTTCCCGAATCGCGAAAGACTTGGCCATGAACCATCCGCCCAAGTCGCAAGCACGCGTCGACGAGCACTGCAACGAAGAGAAAGAGCCTGGCTAGAAGACGGTAGAAGAAGACATACATCATCACGTATTTTGTGATGTCGAGCCGCGCATCATGTGGCCGTCTGCACGCTCTGAACATTCTGGATCAATCCCGCAAGCCCTCGAGGTTCAGAAAGACGCGGAGCAATTTGAAGCCTTCATCTTCTCTCTCCCATCACCAGCTTCCATGATTTCCGCACTCGGCTCACGCGCAGCCTCTCGGACATCACAGCAAATTCTTGTGCAAGGCTGAGGATCTTGGCACATGTTTCAGATTTCTGGATGTTTCAGATTCGATGCTCAAGGCAGTCAAGTACGAGCAGGACGCTGAGTGCATATGCACAAGTCGAAACGCAGCGATCTTGGAAGTGCCATCCGCACATGGGCGGGCATGCGATTGTTTCAGCACGTCGCGAGACTGCATGGCCCCAGAGTGGTTGAGTGCATGAACAGCCTTAGCAGCGCTGAGGGCATCTCTCTAACAACTCCCTTCGTTCTGCTCATCGCGCGTGGCTGGTCGATGAACGTGCAGTGTGACTGCAATCGCGCCTTACCTATCGGCGCTTGCAAGTTCTTGAACTTCATCATCGATGTACCTAATGCCTGACAGTCAAGTGCATACCCATAACCATGTCAGACAGTGTGAGCTTTCGGCGTAACGCCACACCCAGGGTTTGCGCGCTGGACATTGATTCGTCTCAGCAACACATCACCATACCGCACCACCACATACATCACAAGACCATTCCACAGCAACCAATACCGTTCTACCGTTCCTCGCAAGGACGTTTCTCCTCCCTCATACTTTCACGGGCAAGAGCCGGGCGAGCACCCCTTGGGATAGCACAAACCGGTGGGCATCGGCAGATATATCGGGCGGCTTCTATGTCATTCTCCAGGACCGGGCTGGATTTTGGACAGCATCCAGCTGTCTCGCAACAGTTTCGTGTTGTCGCAGTGTCGCATCTTGATGGTTGTAGCTGGGGTTCAACCATAGCTATCGACGTCATGTTTGGAGGAGCCAGTCGGTAGTTGAGCGGTCATGAACTACTGCTGAGGTCATCAGATGAGGAGACACCAACATGAAGTACATGTATTCTGATCGTCGTCTCACGGCCTGGTCTGATCACAGTGACTGCTCTGCCAGCAGGGCCGGCCCGCTTACGAGACATCGATATGCCCGCGACTTCATCTCTGTTGTGATGGCTGCGAGTCCACACAGCAGTGTCTTCCCATGCTTAATTTCGATACACTCCAGTGCCGCCTGCTCGATCCATGCAAATCCCCGGCAAAAGTCACGAGAAGTCAATGTTGGGACCAGGAAGATGTGCCGGCACACCTGGCATTGCCAGGAACCGAAAGAAGCTTTAATCACGTGCCCTCCTAATCAGTCAAAAACCAGGTATCCTGCCTGCGCAGTGCGCACGAACATGCAATTAAAAGGGGCGAACAGAAACTCAGCACCTAACGTTAGAGTCGAACTCACACACGCTTTCTTCCTTACGTGTTGTCTATACCAGGCTTTGGAGGTATCATCTATCAAGCCTACGCCACGCGTCAAGACATTCTTTTGTTCGTGGATTGGATTTCTTTGGTAGCTATGAGGTTGTCATTTGTGGTGGCGGCGTTGCTATCCAGCACTGTCGCACTCGCCTTACCTGCGGAGGACCTCGCGAACAATGCAGACAAAGGCCCGAGACCAGGTCCGCGGCCATCTTTCAAGCCGTTCACGCAAGTCAAGAATGCGCACTACGCACATGGAGGGGGACTAGGGAGTCACAATGCGGTCAACCACTTTGATTTCGGAGCCAAACAACGACCGGCAGTCAATCTCGCAAATTGGGCACCACTTGGATATTCAAACGATCAGTATCAGGATCGTGTGCTGAAACACCACAATTATCATCGTGCGAACCACCTCGCCCCGCCTCTTGAATGGGATCAATCTTTGGCGTATACTGCGCAGCTTGTGGCACAAACTTGCATATATGCACATAACCAGTATGTCGCAGTGTGCCTGTACTGTTCTCACCGTACTAACGCATTGTAGGCAATTCGATCCAAGTGCTGGCCAAAACATCGCTGCTGGATATAGTCCTGACCAAATTGGCCATGTCATTACGGATCTATTCTACAATAACGAAATCCCGATGTTTCAGAATCAATGGTACCGCGAGCCCGCCATGACCTACTTTGAGCAATGGGGACACATGACTCAGGTGTGCTGGAAGTCAACTACACATGTCGGTTGCGCAACGCACTACTGCCCGTCCGGTCTTGGCAATGTTGCTGGTGGCGTGCCGCCTTACTTCACCGTCTGCAATTACAAGAGGGCTGGTGAGTTCATTCATCCACGGACCGCCATGTTGATGCTAACGTCTGTCACAGGTAATGTTGCAACCGAGTACGCGCGGAACTTATCGCCACCCCAAGGCGCGGCTCCAATCAATGGCAACAGCTTTTGAACACGGTACCTGTTGGACATTGGACTGCTAGGCGTTCACCGGTGGAAGAGAGGAAGGCATCACGAAATTCACACGCATGCGCTCACAACAGCTACTGTGAGACGACATTCTCTTGCTGCTCCTGTATACATTGCCAAAAGACCAACCTGTAAATGCGAAACAGCACTCATCGCGCAGGCCATCCCGTTCTCCTGTCTTCAATCCCTTTTCATTTTATCCTTGCTGCGAAGATGTCGTATTGACAGCATGCCCTGGGCCGGACGCAACTTTAGCAATTCGTGCATCAATTTCGGCGTCTCAACTACAGGAAGGCACTAGAAGAGTGAGCATGGCTTTCGGGGAAGAATCAACCATTGCGTTCTTCTGATTTCAACAGGCCAATTCCCACGACGCGTAGTTCAGTTCGTTTGGCTTCATGGACCCTGGAAGCCGCCAATTTGGATTCTAACCTCCAAGCAATTTCCTGGGCTGTCGTAACACTCGTAAAAGTTAACTTCTTGCAGCATGCTCTTGAGAACTTGCTCCCTCTCCTGGACCGCCATTACTACAGTCCTCGTGGTGATGCAGACACTTGTAGAAGTACAATGTCCAAAGTATGTGTGTGTGTGCTGTTGATCAATGAATAGCATATGCATGTCCCGCAATGGAGAGGGATTTCGTTGAGTGGATCCAACTCAGCGAGTAGACTGGCTTTATAGACAAGACGATGCAATGCGGATTTGTATGGAGATGGGGCCTTTTACTGTTTGTCGCATCGCAACGCAACGCAAATACTGTGGGAAGGAAGGAAGGACTCTAGCACGTGAGAATGTGATCAGCGCTTAGACCACCGCGTAATTCAATTAGAGTTCCACGCGAAGCCTCACCTCAACTCGTCAACTCGATCTCGCGTTCGAGGCTTGAGCATTCACTTCACTTCGACACTGACTTCGCCCGATCGTCGCATCATCACAATCTATCGTGCGCCGTACAATTGACTGCAGACTGCATGTCGTTCTTCAAAGCGCCAGCGTGGGCGAAACCACAGGCACTGGAGAGGGGAGACGACGAGAAGGACTTATTCAGCCATTCCGACAAATTCCTCGAGATCCAGCGAGACACCATAGAGCAGAAGAAGAAGCGCGCGGAACGTCTGAAGCAAAAAGAGCAAGAGCGCGATCAGCGACAAAAAGAGAAGAGCGAGAGGAAAGAGCGTAAGAATGCGATCAAGCGAGAGTCTCCAGGCGAGGACGGTAAGGCCGGCCTCAAGAAACGACGCATCAATTCAGAAGAGAGCGCCAAGTTGTTGGCGTTGGCAGGCGCGAACCCGATTATGATTGATAGCGACGACGATGAAGGCACGCTTGAGCCAGTGTCAATGCCAGTGAGGAGATCTCCCAGAAATCAACGCACCAAGGATATGTTTCCTTCACCCAACAAGCCGAAGAGCGCACTCAGCAATATGGCAGAGGCCAGCGACCTTGATGGCGAAATACAAATCACAGCTCTTCAAAAAGCGAAGCCTGCGCCACAGCCCGATCCGGACGAAGAGGAAGATTCAGACCCAGAGATTGCTGCGATACAACGTGCGGCGCGGGAAAGGCATAGGCAGAAAACGCAGCAGCAAAGGTCCTCAACTCCGAATGGCATGACTTTGGAAAGAGGCGCGGAAGCTGGACCCAGTCACACTCCGTCTTTGGTGGATCCGACGATATCTTTACTGGTAACATCAGATCTACCTGATACAGAGCCGCTGTTGGTGAAGCGGAAACTCTCACAAAACCTCAAACAAGTAAGAGAAGCGTGGTGTCAAAAACAAGGCTACGATAAAGCCCAAGCCGACAAGATCTTTTTTACCTGGAACGGACGTCGCCTATACAACGTCACCACATGTCAAAGGCTGGGAATAGAAGTTGACTCACAAGGCAATGTGATCAGAGCTGACGACCGAGCTGCAGATGGCGCGGCTCGAGTACACATCGAGGCTATGACTGAGGACTTTTCGCCCAGAGCAAAGCGGAACGAGCACGCGGGTCGAAGGCAGACAGCGATGGAGAAGAGCAGGAGGAAGAAGAAGCTGAAGCAGAAAAGCAGCAAATCCGACTCACCATCAAAGCCAAAGACAGAGACGAGGTTAGAGTGAGCGTGACTCCGGTATGTACACTCGACCTGCTTGCCTGCTTGCATGCATGACGACTAATTTTCTTCCTCTCTAGACTACAAAGGTTTCCAAAATCCTTAATTATGCTAAAAAGCAGCTCAAAATCCCGGATGGGCAAGCTGCATCTTTGCATTTCGATGGTGATCGTTTGGATCCCGAGGATCTTGTTAGCAGTACTGAACTCGAGGATAGGGATGGGGTTGATTTGCTGGTAGGCGAGTAGGATACGAATTGCATGTTGAAGAAATGTTACTGTAGTTGTGTGGAATGCGCGGGTGCAGATGCAGACGCAGACGCAGGAACTTTTGCAGCCTGTAACTTAGTGGCTTTTCGCTCTGCCCTGGCTTGAAGGTACTGTATTGCTCACCGCATTTTTTTAGTTGCTGCTGCAGCTGCATAGTGATACCCACTCGAAGTTTCTCTCATATTCTGAGAAGACCAATTCAAATCTTACACTCATCACCGAAATAGAAGCGGAAGCGAAAGCCCAACTTTCTACGTATGTGTATAGCCAAAGCCGAAATCTTCATCGTCGTCATCATCATCATCATCAGCCTTGCCTTGCCTTGCACTTCTTCATGTGTCGGCCCGCTGCATTGCATGGCATGGCATGGCATGTGGCTGCCAATGACGACTGATGCTGCATGTTACTAGTCTTGGTTGTGGTGGGTGGTGCGGTGCGTACCTGGTAGCGTTGGGCTTTCATACGTGGCAGCTTCAGCTTTGATGCCCGATAGAAGCCGCCGGGCATGCATACACCTTGCCTCACCGTCGTCTGCATCGGGTTGAGATTGTGATGATGATGATGATGACTCTGAGATGTATGCCCAAAGGAAAACTTCGGAGGTTGTTGCGTTCATCAATGATATATTTTAGTGCTGGTGTTGTGTGGAGTGTGAAGATGATTCCATTATTGTTCGTGACACCGCCGCCGCCGCCGCCGCCATCGATTCACGCAGAAAATCATTTGTTCCATTCCTCGGCGGTCTCATCGCATTGGCTTTTTATTTTTTCTTCTGAAATCCGACGGAGTTGTTCATCCATGTTCCCTCACGCATTACTTCATACACAGCTTCGCCGATTGATGAGGAGACCGCGGTACCGGGTGTGAGCATCGATCAGAGACTCCCGGTAGTTGTTGAGCTTGCAAGAGCTTGCTGTTCTGTGCACCCGACGTGCGACGTGCGACGTGCGACGCAAAGAAGCAGATCGGCTCGTGCTCGAGCTGTCTGTCTGTCTGTCTGTCAGTAGTTGCTCCGGACAACACCGCCATCCCCATTTTGCCTCCATCGCCACTCCACCTCGCTCGGTGTCGACGTCGACGTCGCCCTGGACCTCATCCGTTATTATCCGCATTTTCTCGCATCGCAGGCCGCACCGGTCCAAGCCAAACAACCAGCGCACTTGTGAGTCTCCCCTGTTTGTCAGTCTTCTGCGTCGCTAGCATTCGCTACTGCAGCGTATGCAGATTAGCCGCTTTTCGCCGCCTGCGGCCGGACTGCCTGTTTAATAAGACGGTCTGGGGCCTGTTTGGGCAGCGCTGACAAGGCATCTTGTTGAGCGCAGGACGAAGAAATCATTGTCATGATTTATGACTGACACGTGCTGCATCGCCAGATCACAAACCATCTTGGATCTTGGAGTTTTGCTTGGAAGTTGGACGTCGCGGCCATAACTATTATTGGACACCAGCATTTGCCGCCCCTATTGCAGTACAAGTTCACCCGCCTATTCCTGGTCAAGCACAGCAAACGGGCCATCTCCCGCACTCCTCTGGTGCCCGTGGAAGGCAAAAGTGTCCCTCACCTGCTGCCACTGCCGCTGCACTTGGGCTGCCACACCGCTGCGTCATTATTGTGCGTGTACACACTCGGACTCCGGCGTCGTCAAGTCGGTGAACCTCATCGCACCTGCTGACCAGCGCCCAGCGCCCATCGCACTTGCTGGTTGTGCCTGTGCGCGACATCGCGGTGCTGTCTCATCTCACATCTCAGACGACTCCGTTTCGCGACCGTTTGAGATCTGGCTTGTCGGCGAGGGGAGCAGCGGCTGCCATTGACGAATCGCAGCCGACATTGCGGCCAGGAGATCCTAGATTGACAGCGCCTCGTAATTACAACCTCGAGAGCTTCTTCTGCCAAGCCATACAACTAGCCAACCCGCACGCTCGGCCGTATCCAACAGAAGAAGAAGGTACTGCATATCCTTGCACGCATCCGGCACCCGGTCTCCCACTTCGCGCTTGTATGAGGAGCGCTTTCGGCACCCCTCGACACCATCTCTTCTGCTCCTCATCACCATCGTCATACTGAGGTCCTGAGTGAGAACCGGACCATTGTTGCAGGCATACCGACCAAATCACGAGGCCGCGCCACCAACCGCAGCCGCGGTAGTACACTTCTGAGAGGCGGCACTGTTGCATCCAAAATACTTCTTCCGTTCCAATAATACAAGCTAACAGCATTCGTACCTCCCTGGTCGCTCGACCTTGACCTTGGTTGCTGACTGGCCCGGGGTCAAGCTTTGGGCATCCGTATACAACATCTTGATCGATGCCGTGAGTGCTCCCTCTTCTTGCGTCCAACTATTCAGCTCCTCCGCCGTCAGCCTATCTCAATGGCATCCCGTGTCCCGCAGAGAGGCACAATCAGGGTCACCCCTCCACGCACAAGTGCTACTGCTGTCAAAGGCGCCTCAGCTGACAACAAATTGCAACGTAGACCAGCAAGTACAACGGCGTTTTCTGTCCGGACTGATTCCGATCGTGTAATACACGTCTATTCCAACCGCACACCCTCGGGAGGGAGCGGCTCAGCCTCGAGCGGCGGCAGTCGCAGTTTCTCCACCGACAGTTGGAGCGAGATTGACGACGACGACATTGAGCCGTCCGACTCGGCCTCGCGTTCACGACACCCTTCTCGACGACATACAGTGGAGGCACGACCGGCGCCAACACGGCGACAATCCTCCCGCAGGGCGGTGGAGCGGGAGGAGATTGAAGAGCCACGACGCAGACACTCGTCCCATCGACACCGTCCGAGACACGAGAGTCGACACAGCAGCAGCCGCCACGCACGCAGCTCCTCGCGCCGCGTTCCGTCAGACGAGTCTTCTAGCAGCGTGGCGTCGCCGGACGACTACCCACCGTATGGCCACCCCGGAATGCCACACGCACCACATCCTCACTCCGGCTACCGACATGTACCTGCTGGTAGCCGTGGTGGATATCCACCAAGCGTAGCGACTGCCCCGAGTGGCTATCCCGATCCATACGCCCGAGACCAGCAATTGGTATCGATGCGACACGATCCGTTCGCCTACCCGCCCCATTCGAATCCATTCTCGCCGCATAGCCAACAACAGAATCCTTTCTCGCCAATCCGTGATGACCAATCGAACTATTTCCCGCCCGAGCCAATGGGACCTCCACCGCCTCGAAGACATCCATCAGAAGGCCGCCGGCCGCAAAGCTTCGCCGCACCATCGCACTTCGAGACGGAGACTACCATGGTGGCACCCTACGCTCACCCGTATCCTCCTGGTCCGTGGGGTATGCCAGGATATCCTCCATACCCACCAGTGCCTGGCTGGCCTCACTCGGCCGGCAGCTCACCTCCTCCCAAGGAAGAGAAGAATGCAGAAATAGAGGCCTTAAGGAAATTGGTCGAGAAGCGCAACGAGGACGAGACGAAAGAGAAAAATGACAAGAACTCCGAGATCGAGGCGCTGAAGGAACTGATCAAGAAGCATGAAGAAGAACGGGTGGCTCGAGAGAAAGCATGGATTGCGGAACGAGAAGCCGAGGCCGCTGCAAAGGCAGCAGAGAAGGCCAAGGCTGAGGAAGAGAAGAAACGAAAGGCAGAAATCGACGAGGCGAAAAAGAAGGCCAAGGAAGAGGCCGAGAAGAAGGCTGAAGAGGCGGCCAAGAAGGCCAAAGAAGAGCATGAGAAGAAGCTCGCGGAATCAGAGAAGGCCAAGGAGGAGGCAGCGAAGAAGGCGAAAGAGCTGGAGGACGAAATTGCCAAGAACAAGCCGACGCCAGACTCACTCAAGGCGCCGATCCGATTCAAGGACGCTGTGGGCAGGAAGTTCAGCTTCCCATGGCACATATGCAAGACGTGGAAAGGCATGGAGACTTTGATCAAGCAGGCCTTCCTGCACGTCGACATGATTGGCGAACACGTCCACCAAGGCCATTACGATCTTACTGGACCTGATGGCGAGATTATTCTGCCACAGGTATGGGACACAATGGTCCAGCCGGACTGGGAAATCACCATGCACCTCTGGCCGATGGAAGAGGAGAAGAAGCCTCCGAAGGAGGACTTCTCGGATCCATTCGCAAACCTTGGCATGGGCGGTGGCTTCGCGACTGACTTCGGCATTCTGCCCGACCACGTTCCATCAAAAAAGAAGGGCGGCAAAGGCAAGGATGGGAAGGCCAAGAAAGCGAAGGGAGGCAGTCCTGAGGTCATCGACGTCTTCCCTGGTGAGATACCTGGCGGTAAAGGAGGTATTCCACCGCCTCCTCCTGGCTTTGGCGACCCGTTCGCTGGCATGGGCTTCGCAGGCCTACCGGCAGAAAGTAAGAAGCCACGCCCGAAGAGCAAGAGTGTCAGGAAGGAGATCTCGCCGCTCGCCGCTTGGTTTGCTGGCGGGGCCATCAGCAACTCGAAGGCGAAACGGAGCAAATAGACGGCGGTTCGTGGTTTACATAACGGCGGCACGACACTCGACTCCACATACACCTATATGATCTTCTACCTGCTCGGCGTTCTGGAATCTTTCCTGCGATTTAGCGACATGTTTTTGCTTGCTTGCTCTCGTACTTCGCTTCCAATACATCAACAGGACTATATTTATTCTTCACTGAATCTGATTTGCTGGATTTATATCACACGCGAGACATGGAAGATTTTACGGCAGTTTTTGGAACGTGACATGGAGCGGCTTACGGGAGATGAGATGCGGAGCTGCGTACGACAGGAAAGGAATACACAACAAGACGGGAGGAGGAAGAGAAGACGAGAAGGAGAGAAGGATTTGGCTTTTGGCGCTGGCTGGCTGGATCTTTTTTTTTGTAAAATTTGATACCCTTTTCTTTTCTTCTTTCGTGGCGGCGATCGATGGTTGGTTGTAGGAACATGGGGAATGAAAGAAGGAAAAGTTGCATCGGCTCCGTGCTTTTCGGCTGGATCGAGGATGGGGGGTTTGCGACTTTGGAGGTAGAGGACAGAGAGAGAGAGCTATCGTCGATTTGCTTAATGGATTTACCCGTCACCTAGTTCCTTGGAGTTTTGTTTGTTCAGGCTGTTTTCTTGCAACGGTAGATCATCGCCGTCGGCAGTTCAAAGTTGTGTGTATGCTCACCAACGGAGCATTATCGGCATGCAGAGTGTGCTGCCACGTGTTGTGTTGTTCCTAGGTATACATGTATCCTAAAGAATGCCTGCTTGAAAGTGGTGATGTTGTTTCGTTGGTGTTGGAGTAAGATCTGCCGCGCTCGAGCCATCACGAGCACGAGCCATCTTTCGGCGGGCTCGGCTAGTTCTATCGGTCCGCAACACAGCTTTGCTTTACTTTGCTATCTCACTTCCAGCCTGCTGCTGTCACATCGCTTCACCACACCCATGCTGTGACCACCTTTCACCTCACGCATGAGTGCCCGATAACAACACCGCGCGACACGAAACATGGCCGACTTCAGCTACTCCGATGATCTCGAGCTTCAAAAGCTGAACGAGCAAGTGGTGAGCAGAATATCGCCATCGCCATATGAGGGCGATACTTCAAACTGACGTCGTGCACAGCTCGCAGAGCCTGAAGAGTTTGAGAACTGGGAGAAGCTCGTGCGCGCCGCCGAACTCCAAGAAGGTGGTCTTCATCGCAATTCGAGTCCACAAGCCATCGCGACCACTCGAGACGCCTACGATCGATTCCTCGCCCGCTTTCCACTCTTCTTCGGCTACTGGAAGAAATATGCCGATCTGGAGTTCTCAATCGGCGGCACAGAGGCTGCGGAGATGGTATCATACAACACCCACATACACCAAGTCAGGATAATTGCTGAGTGATATAGGTCTATGAGCGCGGAGTCGCCAGCATCGGCATCTCGGTCGACCTCTGGGCCAACTACTGTGCCTTCAAGGTTGAAACCAGCCACGATGCAGATGTGATCAGAGAGTAAGTTGGAGGGCACCCCTTTCCTACCCGTGCCCATAACTCGACACAGCAATGCTCGATCTGTCTGGTCTTTGTGGGAAGCACAACGAGTGGTGAGATTCCATACCCACAGGCTGGTTTGCTATGAGAGTCTCACGTTTACTTATCAGACCCGCACACTACCTCTACTGCTACTGCGCTCACCTTGTCGCACTTGTTTTCATCCCGACACTTGATTATCCGGACATGACCATTTGGTCGCAGTGGAGCGCTTGAATTCCTCACGCAAGATGTTCGCCTCCCCAGCTCATCCTTGTCTGCACTGATACCCCTCTCCCCTTTCACGGTATTCTAACCTCTCTGTAACAGGTTATTCGAGCGAGCTGCAGACAGCGTGGGACTAGACTTCCTCGCACACCCGTTCTGGGACAAGTACCTCGAATTTGAGGAGCGACTTGACGCTCACGATAACATCTTCGCCATCCTCGATCGAATCATCCACATCCCGCTCCATCAGTATGCTCGATACTTTGAACGATATCGCGTCATGGCCGCACAGCGACCCGTCGCCGAACTCGCCCCGGAAAATGTCATCACACAGTTCCGAAACGAAATTGCTCGAGAAGGAAATCAGAAACAGAAGGGTGCTTCCGACAGTGAGCGAGAACTTCGTGCACGCATTGATGCATTCCACATGGAATCATTCAATCAAACTCAGGCCGAGACCACAAAGCGATGGACGTACGAGCAGGAAATCAAGCGGCCTTACTACCACGTCACTGAGCTGGATGAACCGCAACTCGCAAATTGGGACAAGTATCTGGATTTTGAGGAAGTCGAGGGCGACTACACGCGGACCAAATTCCTATACGAGAGGTGCCTCGTGACATGCGCCAACTACGACCAATTCTGGTACCGTTACGCGAGATGGACGTTGGGCCAGACCGAGAAGCCTAAAGAGGTTCGCAATGAAGAAGCACGCATCATCTTCAATCGTGCGAGCTCCGTCTACGTACCCATATCTCGGCCGGATATCCGCCTCAGCTATGCGCGTTTCGAAGAGTCGCTAGGCAAGGCTGACACAGCAATCGCGATTCATGAGTCGATCTTGTTGAATGTGCCAGGTCATCTCGAGACTATACTCTCATTGGTCAACGTTCACCGACGTCAGTACGGTATCGACGCTGCCACAAGCGTGCTGGGCACCTTCATCGAGAACCAAGAGTACAGCTCGTACACGCGCGGTGCTCTGGTCGCAGAGCTTGCGCGCTTGACTTGGAAGGTCAAGGGTGATGCTGATGAGGCCCGCAAGATCTTCTCCTCCCACCAGCAAGCCTTTCTCGATTGCAGAAAATTCTGGGTCGACTACTTCGAGTTTGAGAGAGATCAGCCTACCTCACAGCAAGATGAGTCCGTGCGGCACCAGCGCATCAAGGAAGTATACGATGACATTCGCAGCAAGTCTCATCTTTCTCCGAGCACGATCCGCGATCTGTCTGGATACTACTTCGACTACCTGCTGGAACGGGGCGGCAAGGATGCCATGGAGGAGTTCGTGGCTCTGGACAAGGAGATCAATGGGCCGTTTAGCGTTGCAAGTGCGCAGAAGTCCAAGTCCGCGGCTGAAGGAAGGGCACACACGGCCACGGAAAACGGTCACACTGATGCTGGCGAGCCATACTCCAACTACTACACTGGACAGAGCGAACAGTCATTGAATGGTCAGGCGGTCAGGGCGTGAGATGGTGCGGGTCGTTGTAGATGATTAACCGGCCTGTATATGATGCGCCACGCACATGGAGCTTAGCGAGCTTTCTTAGATTTTTGTAAGATACCCTCGCGACCCCTATCACGTTGCGTTGCGATCAGCTAGCTTCTTGTGTAGTGCATTCATCACGAGTCTTTGGTGACAAAGTCCCGTTACTCCTGCGTCATTACTCTTCGCATTTGCTCTCATGATCAGCAGGAACCTGCTTGTGCTGATGGAGCACAAGCATGCTCCCAGAAGATCGTATGCTTCTTTCCCATGTGACGCAAGGAAGCATTACTCATAAAACTCTTCATTGCTTTTCGACAGCTTCCGATATCATAACCAAACCAATTGAGACACAGCCGGACTTGAACACATCACAACCGTCACGGATATGAGAGAAATGGCGTGCATGGTATTGGCCGCCGCTACTTTGCAGCAACTTATACTATTTACCAGCGCCGCGCCACCCACTGCAAGTCCAGCACTTCCACCACCTGCTGCTTACGAAGTCGTCAAATCTCATCTTTATGCTGGTCATCGGCTTTGGGGGGCTTTTTTTATGACGAGGGAGGAGTTTGACTGTGACTTCTACGACTCACACGATCAAGGAAAATTCAACGGTGAGGATTTGATTGGGAAGGAATCAGGTTGGGAAAAAGAATCCGAAACCTTTCCAGGACCAGACTCCCTGCGCGAAACGGCCGGATATCTGGAAAACCTCAAAGCCGTGAATGGCATATCCTCACGAAACCCTCAAGTTGGCCTGTTGCCACCTATAACTTTCACGGACCCGGGAACATGGAGAGATACGACTTTCGTTCAAGCTGGGAAGTATGTTCGTGATGGTGTCGTGTATGAAGCTACCCATGCGAGATATCGAAGTCTTTCGAATTATGATTCTAGGGTTTTGAGTAAGACTTCCATTCCATCCTTCCTCATTGCCATCATATGTACATCCTAACCATCTTCTCCCTACAGTCATCACACACTTCACAGCCCCTGAAGCCGCAATCCCACACGATATGGCTGCGGATCAATTACCTCGACTCCAACGTCTCTCCGACTTGGCATATTTGGATTATGCCCGACATTTTCGTCACTTTACGGAAAAGTCGTATGCGACTTTTCGTGGGAGGCCTCCGGTGTGGGTTCTTTTGCAAAATTTCGAAGGCAATGCGGAGCCGCAGGATTTGGCGGTTTTGGCTTGGTGTCTGATCACAACACAGCAAAACCTGAAACCTTGGCCCGGCGTCACGTTTCCCGTCGGTTCGACTTGTTTTCAAGCTATCCTCGGCACGTATCCTTCGAGCGAGATTGCGATGGTCCTCGTCGCGCATAAATACCGATTCGACAGTTCTGCTCTCGCGTCCGTTACGGTTTTTAGTGAAGGCTCGGGTATTGGTTTGCTTTGGTATGGTGGGAGGATGGATTTGGAGGAGTTGCGGACGTCTGAAGCTGCTAATAGGGAGTTTGAGAAGGGGAAGGTTGGGTTGAGGGCGGATATGTATCCTTATCCTATGACTCCGAGGAAGGTTTATGGGAGTGTGAAGAAGAGACCTGTTGGGGAGATCAGTCAGTGAGCTTGAGATGAATTTTGGAAGATGGCAGTATCATACTACTGCAAAAACAATCGGAAAGGTCATGCTGAGTCACCAAGTCACCTCCGACTTCATCTCTATTCTACTACTGTACAAGAAAGTAAATCCCCTTTACGATCTCATCCCTGAATTTTTCTCGATTTCTCCGTACGTCCTACCCGAGTCGTCCGATGCAGTGCAGATGCAATCTTGGGGTTCCATTGCACACTGATGAGCGGAGGAGGTGATGATTCCTAAAAGTCAATGTCTAGCCGTCGCCAAGACTCCGATAGCATAGACATGGGATGCCAGACACGACACTCGGACGACGGACCGGACTTTTTTAGAGGAGTGCCGTGACACCTACAGTACATCTGCAAAGCCGAATGTCTGTCGATGTAGTATAATAAGATGGATCGCTGCTCTCTCGCTCTCATCGTACTGACTTGGTGCATTCTTCCTCTTTCTTCCTCGGAATGTAATTTTTGTTCATTAATCATGCGCCTAACAAAACGCAAAAATCCGGCTACGCCTGTTTACGGTTACAGTTACGAGTACGGGTACGAGGACGGAGGAGGAGGAGGAGGAGGAGGGAATCCACAAAAAAAGAACAGAAGCAAATCCTCATCTTCATCTTCACGTAACTCCTCATCCTATCACAACCCCAACCCCAAAACCAAATCCAAATCCAAATCCAAACCCTTCAGCCAAGAGATACGAACGTCTCGATCACCCCTCCCACGTAAGTTTTTTTTTTTTTTTTTTAATTTCCCTCCCAACTAACAAACCATCTCCTCTCCTCCCACAGCCCACCCCGCCGTCCGTCCCTTGGCCTTGGGAAAATCTCAAAATTCCCGCACCCGAGACAAACCTCTCGACCTCCCAAAAATCCCTCGCATCCGCGACGATCTTCATACGTACATTTGCGAACTGGAAGGGTCTTATCCGACAACAACACGAGCTATGCGACCTTTGGCGGATAATGGACTTTTGCAATCTCAATCTCAGGCTTTGGTGTCAAAGAAGAAGATGATGAAGAAGAAGATTGGGGCGGGTCAGAAAAGACAAAGTGGGATTTATTATGGGAGGAGTTTGGATCCGAGTTTGTTGTCGCTTGCGACGGGGAGTTTGAGGCCGAGGTGGTGGCATGTTTTTGGGGGGTGTTGGAGGAGGGGGTGAGGTTTTTAACTGGAGGTATTCATGGATGGGGATGGGAGGGGGGAGGGAGGAGGGGATGAAGGGTGTGAGAGGATGGATGTTGGGATGGGATGGGATGGGATGGAGGGGAGAATGATGTGATGTAATGAAGTGATGAGGTTTTGTTGCTCTATGCTGGGCTTTTTCATATTGTGTTGATCTTGTCTTTATGGTCTATCTTTCGTCACTCTTCGCGAAGGGAAGGGACAGGGCTTGTGGAGACCAATTCTTTCGCTCTTAGCCATTCATAGATCTTTGGCGCGGTGTCTTAGAGCGATGAAAGGCGTTGATTGTGGACTCTTGAGGAGTGGCTTGAGATCTTTCGGTCGACTTGTTGCCTCCTCAATTAAAGACAACAGTCTTAGTTCCATTCAAAAACACTCGCTTCTCGCTCCACCACTTCACAGCAGCCGCCAAAGTCTGAGTCTCGACATTACTGCCCTCTTGCGTGAGCTCCTTCGGGTTCATGCTGTGATTTACTCTCGCAATCCGTTGTTCGATAATCGGACCCTCATCCAAGTCCGCAGTCACGAAATGCGCCGTTGCTCCGACAATCTTGACCCCTCGCTCGTAAGCCTGGTGGTAGGGCTTTGCACCCTTGAAGCTGGGCAAGAAAGAATGGTGGATGTTGATGATCTTCCCACTCATGACCTCACATAATTTCGGAGACAGCACTTGCATGTATCGAGCAAGAACGATCAGATCAACGTTGTTCGTCTCAATCAGATCCAGGATCTGACTCTCCTGCTGGGCTTTCGTGTCCTTCGTTACGGGTAGATGGTGGAACGGCACATCATAGCTCTTGGCCAAAGTCTCGAAGTCGGGATGATTCGACACAACGAGTGGGATTTCAATGCCCAGCTGCGAGGTCTTCTGGCGGAAAAGCAGATCATTCAAGCAGTGTCCCATCTTGGAAACCATGATCATGACTCGGGGCTTGTGCGATACCGGAACGATATTGTAATCCATCTGCAGATCCAGTCCCTCCAAAGGCTTAGCCAGATGATCGGTCGAGTCCGCGTGGCCGAAATGGATTCGCATGAAAAAGCGTTGTGCTTCCAAGTCGGAGAATTGTTGGAGGTCCAAGATGTTGAGATTGTGCTGTGCGAGCACTCCAGTCACTGTGTGGATGATGCCGGGCTTGTCCGGGCAGGAAAGCGTGAGGATGTGATCCTTTGTCATGTCTTCCAATGCCGCCCTTTTCGTGCCGAATGCTGGGTTTCGGAAGTGGCAGGGTGTCGCCAAAGTGGATGCTGCAGTGCGTAGAGAAGGTTGGAATGCTGTCAATCTGGAGGCACAGCGCAGAGCCGCCATGTACAAGTGCCTAGGCTATAGAGGGTGGAATGGCACGAGTTGTTGTTGTTGTTGTTGTTCGACAAAGACTCCTCGTATTCTATCGTTTCGTGTGTCTTTGGAAATGGCCAGTGCTCAAGTCAAAGAAAATTGGCGGAGCCTGCTCCGATCCCTTCTCGGCAAATGAGGCGGGAGCAACATGGTCAGTCTTCTTCTCATGGACAATGCTGTATGCTCGTGACAGTGCATCCTCTTGTGGCAGGTGAAGAGGTGCGAAGGTATGATCGATCCACCAAACTTGCCCGAATACAACTTGGAGTGTGGAGTGTGTATGTAGGCTATCACGTGCATGATGCCTAAGGCCGCAACTGTGCACACTTTATCTTTAGGCTTCTATAGAATTAGCCCTTCTTCTAAATACATTACAGTTTGTATTAAGTAGTTATAAGCCCCTTGCGTTTCTAATACGCAATTTAATACTTCTAATAGTCTATCCGACTACTACGTAGCTAGCGCTTATTACTAAAAATTGCACTAATACTAATATTGTCGTCGCCGCCGCTCTCGAGTATTCTAGTAGGTACTAGTCCGACTCGAGTTACTACTATAATTTTTTAGTATTAGCTGTCCGCTATACGAGAATATAGGCGCGCCTATTAGCGGCCTTTTATTAAAATAAGTAGTTAGAGAGTTAGAGCCTAAGGCATCGATAAAGCGGACTTAGTATACTACGAGAGCCCTCTTCCGTACTTAGAACTTCTACCTCTCTACGTACCTATCGAATATATAGTTACTATTATACCTCTACTAGCGAGTAGTAAGGGGCCTAAAAGTATAATAGTTATCGGTATAGATTAGTAGGTATAGCAGTAGCGATATATTTGTATAGATTTAAGGCATAGCAATAGGCGTTTAGTATATACAATTTAAGCGAGAAGACAAGACGATATAGCATTAGAATATAGCATTAGAATATAGCACTTATAGTATTAGTAATAGCATTATTAGTAATAGCATAGTAATTATTACTTAGTATCGGTATCTTATAGTAATAGTATCGACCGGGCGCACGTATTGCCCTATAGCATTACACATAGGAGACTCCGAATCTAGCATTAATAATATACGTATATGTCCGTACTTTCCCTACCGAAAGTATAAGACATATAGGAGGCCCTATATTAGCGTAGATAGCGGCTTTACGTAAGCGGAAATTACCTACCGAGCCTACCCGCGTATAGTAACGACCTACTAAAGAGCCCGATATATCGAGAACTACCCGCTCTAATAGGCGGTCTAAGTAGGCTACGTATACTAGAAGAAGGAAGGAATAAGTAGAATAATATTAAGGGTATATAGAAGATCGTAAGGAAGAAACATACTAGTTAGGATCTTAAGAGCCCGGAATTAGCTAAGAAGATTGCCAATTTCAAAGGATTTTATAGTTAGGGCAATCCTACGGAAATACTATATCGTACGAGTAGTAAGAGAGATCGGAACGAAGAGGACATTAAACGGACTATCTACCGGTAGAGTCTAGTATTAAAGGCATTAAAGGCCTCTTCCGGAACCTTAGCAAGCTCCCTATTATTATAGAAGCAAGCTAGTAGAAAGGAGTAGATCTATAGCGACAAGGAGATTAATAGGATTCTACTAGGGATTAATCTATATCGCCCGTACCGTAGGGCAGGTTATATCAAATTCCGAGCAGTCTATAGATTAAACCGATATTAATATAAGATCCTACGGGCCGAAGATAAGAAGAAGTAGGAGTAGGAGTTCTAGAGACGATAGCGACTAGCGAGGCAAAGGTCTCTCTTAGAGAGTAATATAGGATACCTAAAGGGAGCATTCGGGGAACTCGTAGGTACTAGAAAATTCCTATTATACTAGTATAAAGAGCTATAGGGTAAAAGGGGTCGTCCGCAATTACTACGGTCTTATCCCTCTTCTAGAAAAGGCTCTCGGCGTTCTTCTAGGTCTTACGCTAATACTAAGATATATATACCGCCGTATTCGCTACCTAATTCCCCCTAGAAGTAAGGCAATAGGCCTCCTTCTTTATTAGGATTATTAACATTATCGTTACGCTTACAAATACTACTACTAGGAAGTCTACTAGTTCCTCTACTACTAGTACCTAACATAGCGACTAGCGTAGCTAACTTAGAGCTAGTTAGCATATTTGTTAGCGAAGAAGTTAAGGGTAATGCCGAGCGTTAGTAGGACCGTTTTAAGCGGCAATAGGATTAAGTCAATAGCAGAGCCGACCTAGTTCGGTAGTATAAGGACTTTAATATATAGATAAAGGGTAAGGTAGTACGCTAGGTAAATACGGAATTAAAAGACTTAGTATAGAGACCTTACGTTAATAACGCTATAGCGATTACTATATAGACTATTAAAGACAGGTTCTTTACGAAATAGTTAAACATAGTATTATTAGCTAATAACTCTATCGAGACTATCGAAGCACTTACGGAAGTAGTATAGAAGAAAGATAAGGACTTAAGAGAATATTATTATCGCTACACAGTCCTACTCCGCTAGGCAAACGGCAAAGATAATAACACCGCTACTAGTACTAAGCGCACTATTCTTACTATTGCTATTAAGGGGTTCGTTAATAGCCTCGCGGATAAGAAGCTCCGTACCGAGATATAGCGTAAGAAGCAGTCTACCCTAAAGGCAACATTAATAGAGGCGGAGGCAGCTTAACGCCTTATTAAGGATAAGAAGAAGGCTAAGAAGGAGTAGAGAGAGCATAAGTATATAGAAGTGCTAAAGGAGGCTGCTACGTATTAGTCGGTCGGCAAGCAGTTACTATATAAGCTTAATTAACGTTTAAAGAAGTACTAAGAGGCTATAGAGTCTTATAATGCCGACACTAACGTAGTATAGTTAACTCTACTAGAGGCTAAGGATTAGTAGGGCTACCTATATTAATATAGTAACGGCTACTATTACTACGCCTTACCTTTACCGATACCTTCTTAATAGCGCTCCCTATATATACTACCGAGGAATTAGGCCCCGCCGCTACTATAATAGTAAGCTTAGCAACTAGGGTATTAATAAGGACCTCCGTAGTAGTAACGCTAGGGTTTCTAGTTACGCGCTCTACGTAATAATATAGGACTAGGTTATAGCGAGAACAACCTAATACTAGAGTACTATTATACGGCTATACGCCGTAGCCGTAAGCGTAATAGAGACGTCGACCTAACCCGGTCTTAGAATAGCTATATTAATAGCATAATCTAGTACCGATATAAGTTTAACAATCTACTATACTACGGATACGGCTAGCGTAGATACCTTAAGCGTAACAATATCTATACGGAAGATTAGCGACTAATACTATAGGAGAGTAGGTTCCTTATATATCTTATATAGGAACAACGAAAGGATTTCTTTACTAAGAATCTAGATACTAATCGGGGCGAGGGCAATCGAGGTAGATATAGTAGCGGTTATAGTAATAATCGTAGGAATTATAGCTTATATAGAGGCAGCCGTAGAGGTTATAGTAGCGATCGAGATTATAGTAGAATACCTCCTCCTAGGCCTCCGCTACTAAGCGATCGACTATTAAACGACGCGTAGAATAGTAACGCGCTATCGGTAAATACTTATTATATCGAAGTGTTACTAAACTAGGATAGTACGAAGATATTAGAAGAGCTACTTGCCGCTATTACTATTAGTAAGAAGAGTTAGAGCTAAGACGTCGATACGAATAAAGCTAAGGGATATAGTAATAGGGAGCCTACCGAGCCTACTAGTAATACGAATAAGAGAGTTTACTATAATAAAGAGAGTAACGGAGACACCGATATACTAAATATCCTAACTATACGGGTTATTAAGCCTATAAAGGTATATACCTCGAAGGTCGACAAAGGCGCTAAGCCTATAAAGCCTATTAATAGCCTCTTTAACGAACTACCGATTAATATAAAGAAGGTCCTTAGCAACCTAGAGATCCGCTTACTAATCCTATAGCTTATATAGTAGTTACCGTTCTTCCGTAACTAATATAAGTACCTCTTCTCGTAACTACGCTTCCGTAAAGTAGGTAAGCGTAAGGCTAAGAAGGCCGAAGAGGAAGATATAGCGGAGATAATAGAATTAGCCGAGAATAATAGTATCGCGGTTACGGAGTTATACGAGATAGTACTACTAGAGACCGTTATAATAGAGGTAATAAAGGCTATCTAGTTATTAACTATAGCCGATACCGGCCTTAGTAAAGGAATGCCTATAGTTACCGCGGAAGATATAATAAAGGAGTACTAGGTTAGCCTAAGTGCTACAATTAACGGTAATAGTAATAGTATTACCGTATAGATATAGGTAAGCATTAGTAGCTAGCGCTAGCGGGACTTAAAGACTAAGGCCTACTTATTGCCTATTAAGATCTATAACGCCGCGAGAGGAAGGGAGGTATAAGTACCTTATACCTAGTATATTACGGACTAAGGATTAGATTTAAACGTTATCTACCTATACCTCCGTAAGGGTATAAAGCTATAGCTCTACTCGGTTAAGCTCCTTAGCTTTCCGTTACTTAATATAAAGGTCGCCGATAGAGGCTTAGTTAGTATTATATACTTCTCGACCTTCTACGTCGATATTAGAGGCGTTTAAAGGGATATATAAGCGATCTACTACCCTAAGGAACGTAGCAACCTCTTACTTATTCTTAGTTTAGCGTTCCTAGACTAAGTTAACGCTATTTTACGTATTAAAGATAGAGCTATAGAAGTTAGAGATACTAGTATTAGAGAGTAGGTCGTCCGTATTAAGATAATACTAAAGTATAGCGACCTACCGAAGTTTATAATAGATATTTAGGACTTAATAAGTCTAGAAGAAGTAAAAGAAATAGAAGAGCGTAGTAGCGATAAGGAGGAAGAGGATAATATAGATATAGAAGAGCTAAACCGTAATTTAGAAGAGATAGACCTTAGTAATATAAAGGTAACTAGTAGGAAGGGCTAGGCTTTTTATTAAGTCCTTAGTATAATAAGAAAAGGCTTAGTACTAATATAAATACTAACTATAGCGTCGACGTTAATAGCGCCGAGCTACGATAGAAGGAGAGCTTTAAAGAGATACTAGGGTTAGGGTTAGGGTTAGGGTTAGGGTTAGGGTTAGGGTTATACCCTAAGGTAAATAATAGCATCTCTCGAAGAATTAGGCTATTTAGAGTATATAAAGTCTCGGAGGCAAAAGGCGATTACGTAAGCGACAACCCTAACCCTAACCCTTACCCTAAGCGGTACTACGACGTTTCCGAAGCAACCTACCGCTATAGTACCGAATACCTTTACTTCCGCTATTAGTTACTAGAGACGATCGATAATTATATAATCTAAAATAATAGTATCGGCGCCGAGACTACTAAGAAATACTCCGTTATACGCCGAGTTAAGCGCTAAGAGATCGATATAAGTAAGGGCCTCGTAGAACTAAAGGAATAGATTAGTACGAAGGAGATTAAGCTTAGTCTATTAATACCTAAATCGGATATACTAGAAGTCCTTTAAGTTCTATAAACTTATCGTAACCTAGAGGTACTTAAATAAGGAGACCTCGGACCTACTACGGACCTAATATAGTATCGTACTATCCTAAAAGAAGGTATATAGGTCTTCCGCGCTAAGCCGAAACGAATAAGCGCTAATAAGGAATAGTAGCTAATTAAGTATATAATAGAAGGGCTTAAGAATAGCCTCTTTAAGAGTATAGTAACGGCTAATAGAGAGATTAGTAAATAGAATACTAACTACGTTATCGTTACTAAGCTAGGCAAACTACGCCCGCGCCTTATATTTAACTATTACTATATATAGGAGTAGGAGAGCGGCGAACAAATACAGCTAATAAAGAAGAGCTAAGAGTTCCTTAGTAATCCGACCTATAGGTACTTCTCGAAGTTCGATATTAAAGACGTATACTAGACGATATCGATTTACCCTACTAATAGGCACCTACTAGCCTTCTATATACCTACGATAGGATAGCTCTAACTAACGCGTATACTAATAGGTACTAGATCTTTAAGTTTTACTATAAATAAGTATAGTAACGTAGCCTTTAGAATAATACCTCTACCGGAGCTAGAACCTTTACTTATCGCCGTCGATACTATAGTCGGCTTAGACTAAGAATAGTAACTACTATATATAACCGTTTACGTCGACGATATCTTACTAGCGTACCGAGACTAGAACGCCTAATAGCCCTTTATCCGAGATTACCTCTTCCCTCGCTTAGTATTCGTAAAGATAAAGCTATCCTTTCGGAAAGTCTATATTAGCTTTAATAAGTTAGAGATGCTTAGAGATATATACAAATCGGGTAGACGTAAGGCATTAAAACTAGTAAGAGTATAGAAGATCCTCGACTAGCTAGTGCCGTAGAACGCCTATAACGTACGAAGGTTTAACGGTATTGTTAATACTACGCGCGAATACGTTAAGAATATAGGAGAGGTTATAATACCTATTCGGCGGCTAATAAGCGACAACCTAGAAGATTAGCAATAGAACGAGGCTACTTAGCTAAGCTTTAACCTAGTAAAGAAACAGGTAGTATCCGTAGTAGAATAGTATAGATATAACCTAATACTACCGTATAAGATATACTTAGATACTTCTACTAAGGGTATAGGCTACTTTATCCGATAGAGGTAGGAGGTTACTTATAATAGTAAGACAACTAGCAAATAGGTACCTATCCTATACGATACCTATCTCTTTAGTAAGACCGAACGTAACTACGGTACCTATAAGCGAGAACTAAAGTTAATCGTTTATTTTATCGGCAAACATACCTATATATTCTAAGGACCTATTACTTCTATTATCTATACGGACTATAAGCCTATTACTAGCTTTATTAACGCCTAAGCAGATAGGATCTACGTACGCTAGCAAGACACCCTTCGATAGTATAATATCCGTATTAGGTATATCGAAGGCCCTCGTAACGTAGTAGTAGATACGCTCTCTTATACGATCTTCGAAGACGATAATAAACAGGACCTTAACGCTAAGACTATCGAACTAAGGAAGGAGTTAGACGTATATAATAATAATAACTTATAGATATAGAAAGATAGTAAAGGAGGCTTTAACGAGACGTTAAATAAACTTTTCGATAGAGGGGAGAGATACGAGAAATATATACTTAGTAGCATCGAATTAGCAAGCAAGAACAATACTACGTACGAGGAGGTCGATACTAACAATATACGAGTTGTCGTAACCTATAGGACCTACAATACTCGCATTAAAGGCGACAGATACGACACCTACGGCAACGCTATTAATCGACAACTAGGACCGGTATATTTCTAGCAACTATAGCCTTATAGCTTCCTTTCTTAATAGTATATCCTTAGCAACAACATCGAATACGAGGGCCTTACATTTAACACTGCTAAACAGTTTATAATAATACGGAAAGCAGAGATTTATCGTAACTTCGAGACCGCCGCTAAGATTATAAACACTAACAACCCTACTAAATAGAAGCTACTCGGCCGCACGGTATACGGGTTACGATAGTAACCGGCGATTTAGAATAAATACCGAGAGGCTATCGCGGAATAAGGCAACTACCTAAAGTTTAAAGCAAACCCTAGGCTACTAGAATCTCTTCTAGGTACTAGTAATCGTAAACTTGTAGAGGCATTACTAACTAATCGAATATAGGGCATTAGGTTTGAAGGATATAAGGCCGATAGAATAAGGGAATATTAGGGCCTAAACCTACTCGGTAAGGTACTTATACGGGTAAGGGACAGATTAAGGAAGGAGTAAGAGGAGGAAATAAGAGCACTACCGATTAACAATATTACTATCGAAGAGCCGTTGCTATAGATATCCTTTAGTAAACCTAAGCAACCGACTAAAGAGGCAACAATAAAAGTACCTATCCTAGATTGCTTAGAGATCGGATATAAGATTCTTTATATCTATAAGAGCGGCGATCCGAGCTAGATATACTATAACCCTTACTACGAACACCTTTGTTACAAGGTACCGAATATTATACCGGGGAAGCTATTAGATAAGGACTTAGCGCTTACTAAGCAATAGTATAGTGACATTATAAGGTACTACAAATATTAACAGATCCCTTAGACCTAGACTAAGGCCGTATATAGGAGCTTTAAGACTATTGCCGCTAGCTATCGATACTATATAGCGACTAGCATCTTATAGAGATATATTATTACGGATCGAATTAATAGGCGACGGATCCTAGTACCCTACTTGTTACTATACGAGATTGTGCTATTGCTATAGAAACTATACGATAAAGTAGGTTACTTTAATAAGCGTATCGTTTACTAGAAGCTTATTAACCGAGTGTTCTAGCTAGATATATATAGCGACATTATTAAATACGTTAAGGGCTACTTCTACTGCGTACTCTAGAGACTAGCAAACCCGATACATTTATATAAAGTCTTCTACGTACTGTATTCTAGTAAGGTTGTCGAGATTAATCTAATAGGGCCGTTCCCGCTAGAACGCACTAGAATTAGTAAGAAGCCGTATCGATACTTGCTCGTAGTCGTAGATGTCTTCTTACGCTTCGGCGAGGTAAAGCTATTAGAAGATAAGGAAACAGAGACTATATATATAGCACTAGATAAGGTCTTCGACGCTTCTACGGACCCTATAGTAGTATTCTATAACCCCGGCACTAAGTTTATAATAGTAATAGAGCACCTTCGATAGGATAGAGGCATCTACGCAATACTAGGGCCTATAGGAAGTAAGCGACTTACTAGCTCCGTAGAAATATTAAACCGAGTTATTCGTCGATTACTTAAGCGTAACAACAATAGTTACTTAATAGACCTAAATAGATACCCGATTAAGCAACTTAGCGGCTAGGTTACTAATGCTATTAAGGCAATAAGGCATGCCAATTATAGGCACATCGAGGGTATTAGATATTTACCTACGGAGATTAAGTTAGGCCTCCGACCGGAAGAGCTTAGTAATAAGGCCGATCTCTATCCTTCCGTATAACGATAGGAATTGATTAACGCATTAAAAGGCGTTAAAGAAGCTAATACAGCAATAGTTGATTTAATTAACAATAAGCCCGAAATCGACGTTAACGCTACTACTACGAGTTAGTAGCTAAAGGTGCTATATACTAGCCTCTTTAATATACTAGAGTACCTTACAACCCGGTATCGCGTTTACTCGGAAGTGCGTCGCCGTAGCAAGGCAGCATTAGCTAAGCGTATTAGACGTCTTTATCGGTTAATAAATACATAGCCTCTACTTAGACCTAGTAATCTCGTTCTTCTTAAGAATTAGTTAATCCGTTAAAAGAGTTAGCAACTATCTTAGACTAGCCTCTTCCGTATTAAACAATTAAGCGATAATATAGACAATGCTTTCGAGTTATAGACTGTCGATAGAACTAAGTTACTATAGGGCCTTTATTATCGTAAGCACTTGCAAAAGTTTACGCCTAGAAGTAGATACCTAGTAAAGTAGCAGATCGATATACTAGAAGGACTACTATAGCCGCGCATACTATACCTAAAGAAGGTTACAAAGAAGGTAGAAGCACATTACCGATTCAACTTACGCAATAGCGCTTAGTAATTAACAATCGATCGATACCTCCGAGACCTCCGTAATAGTTACCTATTATCGATATCGATCGACCCTTCTAACGTATAGTATTATACGCCCCGTAGCCTATCGCTTGCACTCGCCTACTAAGCATTATTACAAGGGCATAGATACGCAGGTTAGATTAGAGTTATAGATAGAAGTACAGATTAGATATAGTAACCGGCGTATTACCGACGTAAGAGACTAATTTGTATAATATCCTAGGGACTAATTAGCGTATAGGTACACTTCTTTTATATAATCTACTATTGTAGTAGATAGAATATTAGACAAGGCAATAGCGATACTATATCGCAGGCTCTACGACTTGTAGATAAGGGAGTAGTTAGAGAGTTAGAGCCTAAGGCATCGATAAAGCGGACTTAGTATACTACGAGAGCCCTCTTCCGTACTTAGAACTTCTACCTCTCTACGTACCTATCGAATACACAGTTGCTATTACACCTCTACTTAAGTCTATAGTCTCTTTCTATATTAATATCGCCGTCGCTATCTATAATAGCTCCCCCTACAACTTCTAACGCTTATATAAGCAACATCCCTAAGCTAAAGAATAAGGAGAATTATCTAGCATAGGCCTATGCCGCTAAGGGTACCCTTAAAGGCATATAGGTATAGCGCTATATCTAAGGGACCTATCTAAAGCCCGAGTTTAAGCTATTATCTACTAAGATATAGGAAGAATTTAAAGACCGCTAAGATAAATAGGAGGCAAAGGACTAGTTAGCGCGTACGTAGATATTCGCTAACTATGTATCCGAGATCTAGTAGTCGTTGCTTAGACTCGATACCTCTAAGGTAGTATAGGATTATCTATAAAAGAAGTATACTAGTAAAGGTAGGTCTACTAAATTTATGCTCTTCTAGGACTATATTACCCTTCGCTACGATAGCAAGGACGTCGAGAAGTTCTATAACGAATACAAGAAGAAGCTTAGTACCTTAAAAGACACTAAATTAGCTATTAGTTAATACTAGGCTGTCTATATGTTTATTATACAAATCGTACCGTTCTACGAGGCTTTTACGTAGATGCGCCGTAAGCAAATGTACGCCTTAGAATATACTATTAATAATAGTACCCTTAACAATATTATTAGCGCGTTGCTTAATAAGAACGTAGCTTAGTTAAACTAGGCCTAGTATAATAGCTTCTTCGGTCTTTAGCGCTAGTACTAACTATAAGGTAGCAATAGTAATAGTCGAGGTAACTCGAACCGTAGCGGTCGTAGTAGCTACGGAAACAACGGAAATAATAATCGAGGTCGTAGTAGAAGCAACTAGAATAGTTACTAGTCTAACCGTAAGAAGTGCGCCTATTATTAGGGGTCGCATCCGTCTAATCGTTGCTATAATAAGTACCCTTATCTAAAGGAAGAAGACCGACTACGCCGTAAACAGCAGAAGGCTAAGAAGAAGAGGGTATAGTAATAGCAATATTAGTAGCGTAGACTAACTATATAGTAATAATAGCAACCTAGTACGCAAGGCTTGTTTGCTAAAAATACACTACCCTTATTCTGTAACAATCTACGTCCGGATTTAGCACCGTTACCTAGTTTAGGTAGCAACTACGCCTTTAATGCGATTACTGTTAGTAACGCGGCATCTATAGCGCTTACTATAGCGACTCGTACTACTAACTAGGTTATAGACTCTAGTACTAGTATGTATACAGTTAATAACCCTACCTTGCTTCTTAGGTGTAAAGGTTACTGCATCCCTGTCCGGCTTAGGGGTAATACAAAGCACGCAATAATAGTAGGCGTTGCTTAGATAGAGGTAGTTAACGAGCATAGTATTAGCAATATAAAGTTGTTAGAGACACTATATATACTAGGTCTAGCTGCTAAACTCTTATCTACTAAGAAGCTAGCCGATAAGGGCTGTTTCTATCGGAATAACAAGCGTGTACTGTTTACTGTCGTTAACGGCTCTAAGGTTACTATTGCTTAGACATACCGAAAGAATAGTCTCCCCTATTTGCATATACCTACCTCTAGTCCTAAGGGTTAGGTTGTTACTCTTCTATCGAAGAAGGGGATGCTAATAGGTACGATAGAAGAGTAGTATCTACGATATAGCTATATCTATTACCGCAAGCTATTACGAATAGAAGCTAAGGGTTAGATTGTTATTACTAGAAACAAGACCGACTTCCGAAACTGTATTGCTTGTCGTATAGCAACGTTATATAAGGAATATAATCGACTACTACGCCTACGACTATCTACTATTTACTATATTGTCTATATAGATATAGTTACTATTACTAATCCTAGTCTGCTATAAGAGCGCTACTTTACATTGTTTATATGCGCTAAGTTAGCCTATCGATACGAATATGCTAGCTTACTAAAGTTAGGGGCTATAGTAGCTATTAAGGATTATCGTATATACGTTCGTATATAAACTAGCTATTCGATTCTAATCTACTGCCTCGATAGAGGGGGTAAATACGGCGGAAATTAGCTGTTAAGCTAGGCTCGTAATTAGGGCATTATACTACAGGTTATAGCACCTCATTCTTCTACTTAGAATAGCCTAGCTAAGGTTAGTAATTACATCGTATATACGACCGCTCGGAAGATAATGCTTTATACGAATTTGCCTAAGGCCCTATAGCCGTATATAGTTACTACTGCTATATAGGTCCTTAATATTACTCCTAGAACCTTAGAAGGTCTTAGCCCCTATACTATTATAGCTAGGGAGCTTAATTAGTCTCGAAAGCAACTACGCCTTTAACATCTTCGTGCCTATAGCTATACTGCTATTGTATATAATTACGGAGTAGCTCGTAGAAAGAAGATAGATAGTAGGGGCCTTGTTAGTAAGCTAGTTAGCTATGCTAAGGACTCGGTAGACTTAGGAAAATATATAATTTACCTTCCTAACTAGCGTAAGGTTATTCTATTAAAGGATGTCTAATTTATTAAGACGGCTAGTAAGCTATTGCTTCTAAAGGGCATAAATCTATACGCTAATCCTAACGACCTAGCTAAGAACGAGTTTATTACACTCGAGTCTATTATACCGGCTCTATTCAATTCTATAAGCAACGGGGCACCGCCGCCTTAGGAAGCCGCTAGTATTATTTAGCACATTCTAGCCTAATAGGAAGATGCTCTAGAAGAACCTACTTAGGACATAGAGGTAGCTAATAAGGTCGCTAATCTATTGCCGCTCGAGGATAACCTGCCGGCTATTTAACCTCCTTTAAGTAATAAGGATAGTTTCTAATTAGTAGAGGAACAGCCCGTATATTATCTATAGGCTAAGAAAGGTAAGCCTAGCTAGTTGCCTAAGTTTGAGCGGCTAACCGAGACTAGTAGTCGTTCTATACGCAAGACACGAAGCAATAAGAGCGCTCGTAAACTATTACGTAGTTACCTAGCCGATATAGGCGCCTATCGCAAAGAGCGCCGCACCCTTGCTAACATGCTAATAGCCTATATAAAGGGCTTTATAGCCGCCTACTATATTGCCGAATAGACTAACAAGCCTAAAGAGACTATTCTAATTCTAAAGAGCTTTAAGGCTACTAAGGAATTATAACACTAGCTATAATAGAAGGAGGCCTATAAGGCTAAATACAAGTTATTAATAGATAATTATACGTAGGTATACGTTTCTCGGCTAGAAGTACCTAGAGGTCGTAAGGTTGTCCGTAGTCGATAGGTGTTTACTATTAAGCGTAATGCTAATAGCAAGGTAAGCCGGTTTAAGGCTCGATAGGTTGTCCGTAGCTTTACTTAGGTTAAGGGACAGGACTATAATAAGACCTATACGGCTGTCGCTAAGCCGTCTACGCTACGAGCGCTGTTTAGCTTAATCGCCTATTACAACCTAGAGGCTAAGTAATACGATATTCTAACGGCCTTCCTTAATACGCTTATCGGTAATAAGTATAAGATCTACGTCGAGCAGCTATATAGCTTTAAAGACCGTAGTAGTAAGACTATAGTTTGTCTGTTACTAAAGGCACTATATAGTCTAAAGCAGTTACTAATACTATAGTACGAAGAGCTTCGAAAGTACCTAAAGAGCCTAGACTTCGTGCCGATAGTAGCTAATATATATGTGTTCAAACACATTGTTAGCGGCTCTATTATTGTTATCTACGTAGATAATATAATTATTATCGCCTACACTCTATTAGTACTAGAGGCAGTAGCTTAGTTACTAAAGGACCGTTTTAATATACGAGAGCTAGGCGACCTATACTACTATCTTAGTATGCGGATTATTCGTAACCGCGATTAGCGTACTATTTACGTCGTTTAAGATGCCTATTTAAATAGGCTTAGTAAGAAGTATAGCATATAGGGCCGAGTAGCTCCTGCTATACTAATAGCACCTCGATACGTTAAGATATCGATTTAGCGTATACCTAAGGGCTATACTACTAGCGCTGCCTTTAAGACTTAGTATTAGGAAGGTGTTAGTAAAGCGCTATAGCTAGCTATAATTACACGACCTAATACTTACTACGCTATAGGCCTACTATTACGATACATTTCTAACCTAACTAAGGAGTACTATACCGCGCTTCTTTAGCTTATTAAGTACCTAGTTAGTACTCTAAGCCGTAGCTTATACTTCCGAGGTATATAGAATAAGAACGAGCTTAACTTTGTTAAGTACTGTAACGCTTCCTAGGCTAATAATCCGATTACCTATCGCTCTATAGGAGGCTTCTACTTTACTATTACTAGCGGACCTCTATTATATAAGTCCGGCCGCTAGACGCTTATTATACTATCGTCTATAGAAGCCGAGTATATTTAGTTAACTACTAGTACGAAGGAGGCTATTGCACTAGCTCGGTTATTAGAGGAAATTAGTTATAAGGGTACTATTAAGCCTATTACGCTATACGAGGATAATTATTTAGTAATTGCTATTACTTAGTCGACGAGTGTTAATAGCTATACTAAGTATATAGACGCTAGAGTCTACTACATCCGCGAGAAGATCGCTAATAGCACTATCGCTATTACTTAGATTAGTATATACGACTAGATCGCTAATAGCTTTACTAAGCCGCTTAATAAGCTTAAGTATAGTCGCTTTGTTTAATAGTTAAACTTAGTAGACTATAAGGCTACGATTAAGAGCGCCGCTTAGCCTGCTACTAAGTACTAAATAGATAGTTTGCTAATAATACCCCGGAGGTAGTATTAGTTCTAAGTCGGCGATATGTTATTTGTTTATTTAATTAGCCTAAAAGTAGTCTAGTTGTTTCTATACCTAATCCCCTATTGCTTTAGCGGTTTCTTTGTTTGGCTGTATACACGCGATAAGGGGGTGACTTAGAGTGTGGAGTGTGTATATAGGCTATCACGTGCATGATGCCTGAGGCCGCAACTGTGCACACTTCATCTTTGGGCTTCTGTAGAATTAGCCCTTCTTCTGAATACATCACAGTTTGTATCAAGTATACATCCATCACATGCACCTTTCTTGTCCCTGCCCGAGGAATGCTCATTACAAGAGCTTCTCGTGGAGCTCTCATCAATCACCAAAATACCGGAAGCTGTGTTGGCGGACGACAAGAAGGGCAAACATTTGCCAGTGAGCGACACAGTAAGCTGCGTTGGATGTCTGGCCGACAGACGACACGCGTTGAAGACATGGCAGATTGCCTGCTTGGTATTTTAGACGTTTCAATGCCAGTCGTATATGGCGAAGGCTCCAAGGCTTCACTCAGGCTGAGAAAGGAGATCTTTGAAAAGCAACGCCCGCCTTCTTCGGCGCAGCAGCCTCCTCATCCTTCGACCGAGAGCAATATTGAGTCGGAGCACGAGATATTGGCAAGAGTACGAAGAAATGCTGCGGGAGTTCGATGACTGTGGCAGTATAGCTACATCTATATCGCCGGAAAGCAAAGCACTACGATCGTACCTCTCAAGAGGGCTCGCAACGCCCGGTTTTATGCTCGCGAGCAGGAGCTCTCAGAAGTTGGAAGCAGTCTTGGGGACGCTGTTGACTCATCCTTCTGTTTGCAATCGTGTGTTTGTTTTGGCGATGGAGGCATCGGAAAGACCGAGACTGCGTTGGAGTACGCCTATCGCTACCAGCATAAGTATGATGCCGTATACTAGGTCCGGGCGACGAGGGCCGACTAGCTAGAAGCTGACTACCAAAATATCGGGATTGGCTTGGGCCTGACCACTGGCGATGGCAGATGTGAGACCTATGTTGAGGCGGTTCTGAATTTTCTGCAAGGCATTATGCACGTGATAGCCTACACACACACTTCAAGTTCTAATACTGAATTCGAATCCAGCTTTGCGTTGGTTGCTCGTCTTCGACCATGCCTATTCTCCGCGAGAACACATCGGAAAATACTAGCCGGTATTAGCTAAAAGTAATTCTCGCAGATTGGTTACTGTACCACTCGTGCAAGGCTACTAAGCAGCTCTCGCTTCGTTCAAGTTCTAGTAGACGTAGGAGCCGTGCAACTCCACGATCCTACAAAGGCGGACGAGTGCATGCCGCTTCACACCCTGGCCAGGAAAATTCTAAAAACATCCTATACCCCGACCGGAAATCGAGAAGAGGTTTTGATATATATACATCGAGAACTGTCTGGAGATTTCTCATTCTGCGCATTTAGCAAAATCATCTTCCATTGAGCATTGGAAATGTATTCGTCTTCGCTATATCTCTATCGCACAGCCATATAACAACAACGACATCGACACCTGATATGTGAGGAGACGAAGGGGGAAGTCTCGACGTGTGCCATCCAGATCACAAGGCAATGGTGTGAGACGTGCATCAGCTTCCCTTCCCCAACGTGCAGACTCCTTCTCACGCGAGTCCATGCCTTTCTATGTCGTCGCTCGTCATCTCAACCACACCGCGTGGACGCTTTGTTACCGGCAGTGCCTGCCAACTACAGTAGCCTTGTACTACCATGCAAAGAAGACACGCCGAAGCATATTCTACGACATAAGGCCGCGACAAGACTTGGCAAACTTGGCAGAGCGGGCAGAATCTAGCCTCACTTGTCTGCGCTTTCCGATCTCATAAGCAGTTCTAAAATATAGGCCTGCAGAGTCAAATCTTCAAAATGGCGCTCCATAAGAACCAGAATAATCTTGGGCAGCGTAGGCATTGAATGCGGTGTGGTATGTCTCGACGATGGATTGCAGGCCTAGGTAATAGGCCCGTTTGTGGGTCATATCTCGCAATGCCATCTTGCCCCGACACCATCTCCGGTGCCAAGCACGCGAGCCGACTGGGCCATCATCAATCTTGGACATCTCTGATATCAACAACGCACGCTTCTCGACCTTGGCAATTCTCTGACCTCCCAAGCTCCAGATGGAGACCCCGAGAATCATTCCAGAGTCGCTTCTGGGCATATAAAATGTCGATTTCCTACTGAGAAGCTCGTCCGGCACTCCTTGTCCGCAAGCAACCCAAAAATTGACACATCATGGGAGGAGCAACGCCCTCTGGAGGCCTGAACCTCAACATCAACTGGAAAGAGCATCGCTGGGCAATTTTCTTTTGCTTGGTGGCTACGATTGGTGCATTATGCTATGGTTATGATGTGAGATTGCATTGCTGCTGGCCTGCATGAGCAACAGTGTAACTGACCACAAATCGTCCAGACCATCTACTACACCGGCATCCAGGGCATGAGATATTTTGCCCGCGACTATGGCCAGCAAGAAGCCGACGGCAGCTACGAGCTTGGAACGACCTTTTTGTCCGTATCGGCATCGATCATCTACGTTGGGGAGTTCTGTGGAGCACTTCTGGCGGCACCCATCAACGACAAATTGGGCCGGAAAGCTGTCTTCGCATGTGCTGCCACCTGCATCATCATTGGTGCAATTGTGCAAGTCTGCGCCTATAGAATCGCCGGCGTATTCTACCTTGGCCGTGTCTTCGTCGGCTTGGGCGTTGGGCAGTTCACGGCGACCTGTCTGATGTATGTTGCAGACGTTGCTCCAAGCGCGATCCGAGGACCAGCTTTGATGATGTTCCAATTCATGCAATCCATCGCACAATTTGTGGGAGCCTGCGTGAACCAAGGGACTGAAAATATCGATGGCGCCGCTCAATATCGACTTCCTATGGGACTTTTAATCATCCTTCCACTGACGATGCTGATCCTGCTTACCATAACCCCGGAATCGCCAGTGTGGTACATGTCAAAGAACAGGCGCGGAGATGCTAAGAAGTCGTTGGAGAAAATCAATCGCAGTGCGCCGTCCTACAATGCCGAGACAGATCTGAAAGTCATCGAGGACCAGATCAACCTTGAACGAGAAATGGCAGCGGAGTCGAGCTGGTCGTCACTATTCTTGGACCCTGTCGAGCGACGCAAACTCTTCTACGCCTGTGGAGTAATGTTCGTGCAGCAGATCAACGGTATTCAGTTCTGGTATACCTATGGCGTAGTCTTCGCCCAATCAATCGGAGTCGGTGAGCCATTCACCATCAACACGATCATCTATGTCGTACAGATCATCACTGTTGGCCTATCCGTTGTTTTTGGCAACCGTATTCGAAGAAGGACGAATTTGCTCGTCTGTACGATTGGAATGCTGGCATCGCTCGTTGCTGTTGGAGGGCTCGGAACGGCGAAAGACGCAGAAGGAAACTTCTCTCGCGGTGTTGGGATCGGTATTGTCGTCTTTGCATATTTCAACATCGTATTCTACAACTTCTCGATTGGCGTACGTAATCCCTCCTTAAGCTTGTGCTATGTCGCTGACACTTTACAGACCCTTTCTTACACCATCGCATCAGAAATGGCTGTTGGACGAAACAGAAACAAAATTACCTCTTGCGCTCTTGGCACGTTCTTCTTCACCGTCTGGTTGATGGTCTTCACAAGTCCTTACATGTACTACGATGCGAATCTTGGACCGATGGTCGGCTTCGTCTACGCCGGCACCACATTAGTGAGCTACACCATTCCAATCCTTCACTGCATGTTGCTAACGTACGTAGCTCCTCCTCGCATACTCTTGGTTCTGCGTCGGCGAAACTACAGGCAGGACCAACGATGAACTCGAACGTTTCTTCATCGAAAACATTCCTGTTCGATTGTGGATATCTCATGTTTTCGAGAACGATACTTCCTCGTCAGTTTACAGCGATGGAAAGGAAAAGGACGCTACAGCCTTAGCAGTACGGGTTAAACAAAAAGTCTGAGAAGAGTTGGCAAGCTGCCTCATATCTCCTTCGTAGCAAACTTGTTCACATTTTCAATCTTGATCATGTCTAAAGTCTTCTCGTGCAGATACCACTTTTGGAGCCTTGTCCGGTCCCATTTCTTTCATCGCCTAAGCAAATCTATAGACAGAGATGAAGCTTTCCGAGCTTTGTCGTCGTGATTGAAGAAGGCTAGTAGCCTACCGAGCGGCCATCGTAATCAAGTCTCGCCTGCTCCATACTCGCACCAACAAACCCATACACATCATCCTCAAACTTGTCCCCCTTATCCGTCGTCTCAAACACTTGATCGTAACAACTCGGAAACCCTTCCTTCTAGATCGCTCCCCGATACGCATTAACTAGCGTTCCCCGAACGAACCCCGCGTCCTACGTTTCTCTATCTTCTTTTTTCGAACCGCTTCCATGATTGCTTCCCACGTGTAATAGCCGGCCGGTGCTGTGAAGGCAGTAGGATTTTCCTCTTCGGGGTTTGACGTATAGGAGAGATGCGAGTGCCGTTTCGGTTAGGGTTTAGTTATAAGGTCGGATTCGCCGACGTAAGGGAGATTTTTCTCCGCGTATAATAATGTATTTTGTAAGCTTGTTAATAATAGAGTTGCGGTTTACTAGGAAGGAGGGCGCAATCTAGCCGGTATCGATAGTTAACTTATTGCTTCGTCGTCTTTATCGGTAATATCGCCTTTACGGTTTGCTTCTGCTTCTTCTTCTTCTTCTTCTTCTACTTCCTCCTCGTCTTTATTATCCTTAAAATCGTCGATCTCCTCTCGATCCGTAGATTCTATAGTCTCGTATAGGGTGTTGCGGCAAGTAGGACACGTATTGTGATTAACTATCTACGTCGCTAGGCATTCGCGGTAGCAAGTATGCTTATATATTGTCGTAAACGGGTTTATAAGCTTATTAAGACATACTAGACAATCGGTATCCGAGTCGAGCGGCTAGAGCTAAGCGAGGAAGTCGTCTTTAGGTAGTAGTAGTATTGTCGCTGCTAGTTTGTTCTCAGTTTGTAGTAAGTTAGAAGTGCGAGAGAGGAAGTCGTAATAGGAGGCAACGAAGCTGTCTTTCTGTTTAAGCAAGTATCGACGTAAAGGTAAGATTCGATGTTTGCTTCTTCTTGTCCTTTCCGTTAGCGACTATTCGTAGCGTATCGTTTTAGATAGGACAACCTTATATCGCGCGCTAAGACTTGCGCTAAGTTATTTTATAATAGCTCTTATCCGTTCTATATGTATAGAGTCACTCACACTCGGCGTCTTAGAAGGCTAGGTCTTTAAATATCCTAAAACATTCGTAGACTAGAGCTTGCACGGCTACAGTCTAGAGCCTAATTTCGAAACTATTCTTCTAAGACATCGCATCGGCACTCTTAGTCTTTGTGGATCTCGGCTTCGGGATTTCTTGTTAAATGTAGACAGTAATTAGATAAGGCGGAAGAAGCTGTACTAGATCCCTTCGGTAGGCACCTTTAGTAATTCTCGTTACTATTTAGTAGCGCCGAGAGGACAATAGTAGGCTATATACTACTATTATAATCGGTTTTACGAAGAGCGCCTTTGCGCGGAGAACCTAAGGGATATATAGCAGACCTTCTTACAACCTCTAGGCCTATCTAAGAGGGTCGGATAATACGCTAGCTAAATAGCTCTTTATATATAAACCCCCCGACGGAAGCCTACTAGACTAGAGCCCTTAGGAGCGTCTAGAGGCCCTTTAAGGCCTACTCTCCTTCCCTTTTCTCCTCCTCCGCGGTGCGGGTATAGCGGTAGTAGCGGCAATACCGGCTGTAACGGAAGGGGCCTAGTAAAGAGATTTTTAGGGGCGTCCGAAAGGGGTACCGAAATTAGGGTTAGTAGTACCCCTTAGCGACGGTAGAATCGCCTAAAAGCCTCTAAAGTTGTATTAATAAAGATAATATAACACTCTCGCAACGCAAGACCTAGCCTTAGCTATACTTTACGCCCGCCTTCGAGTATTTAATAATCTTTATCGAATTTGTTAGTTACTAGTCTATCTAAGGAAGCTAGTAGACGCTTACGCGAGAATTAGCTAGATACTACTAGTAATAGTAAGTCCGCGAACGACTTAGACGCTACTCTAAGTCCGAGCAAACAGTTAGAGACTAATGCCTTCGTAGCAAGTTTCCTAAGGATAGCGCGCTAAGATCTAGGGGATTAGGCCGATAAGCCCTAAAAGGTCGAGGACTAACGTACCGCAAAGAAGGAACGGAAGAGCAAGAAGAAGGAGAAGCGGGAGGCTAATAAGGCTAAGAGAGCTAAAACTATTGCTGCCGAAGGCTCTAATAGTAAGGCTCTAACTCGGCTATATAGACGCAATAGGTATACGAGCCTAGAGTACCTCCCGGCCGACTGCCCTAGTAGTAAACTAATCTCTAGTAAAATAGAGGTTAATAATTAAGCTGCTACCTAACCGACGCCGCGCCCGTTAACCCCTAACGCTTCTGCTTTTAAGCCGTTACTAATTAGACGAAAGAGGGGAACTACGCCTTTAATAGTAGGCTCCCCTTAAGTAGAAGTACCGAGGAAGAAGAGTAAAGCACCGAAGGATAGGCCCTAGAAGGCCTACTCCGAGAGCCGCGGTCGCTCTTTAAATGTTAAGGACGTTACGTAGTCCTTATTAGAGACGTCTATCTTAGGATCGAGCTCCTCTAGGGCCGCTAGCTCTACTATAGCCCGACTAACACCGGCTATTTATAAGCTAAAGGCTACTCTTACTAAAACGTCTATAAGGGCGAAGAACGTTTCGAGTAGTCTTTTAAATAATACGGCTTATTAGTATACTAATAGAAGGCACCTATTTATTAGGTAGCCGTCCGCTCTATCGGACGACCCGCCTAAACGACTGCACCCTTTTATTAATGTTAGAGGCTATACGTAATTAGCATGTAACTAGCTCGAGTAAAGCTAGGGTCTTAGTGCCTTAGGCAGGGCTTAGCGCTTAGCGTTAGGCTAACTAGCCTACCTTCCTCCTTCTCCTCCTAGTTCTCTATCGAATACTACTTGTACCTACTACTACCCTATCTACCTGCTAATATAACCCTTCTTATATAGTATTCGATCTACCCTTTAAGGGTAGTAGCTAGATAGTCCTAATTTCAAGCTTTTAGCGGTATAGCTACGAATAAGACTAATCTAACTATATTGCGCCCGAAGAACGGGACCTATACGTACTATTCTATCGAAACAACCGTACCAATTATTAAGTAAGGCCTTCTATACGGCCTATTACACTAAGTCAATCGCACTAAGCCGATATCTACTAATTCCGCTATATCCGTATCTTAGGGGCCTATAATATATTATTAGTGTTACCTCCTATTACAATAATAGCCGGCTTATTACGAAGCAACAACAACCGTGCTGCCGCTAGTAGCGCTAGCAATAACAACGCTAGTAGCACAGTTCCCGCTAAAGTGCCTACTAAAGTGCCTCCTACTAAAGAGCCTGCCGGAGAGCCTATTAAAGAAGAACCTGTAATTCTAGGTAACGACCTAGAATTGCCTATCGACGACATTCTTAATAATATTGTTAACCGTCGATATAGCTAACTAGCCTTTAGGCCCTAGCTAGTAGCGAGACTTTAAGAAGCTACCTAAAACAGGCTTACTGCCCTACGTTAAGAACAATAGCTAAAGGATAATCTCCTCGAGATTCGCCGCCTTTAGGAGGCCCTAACAACTAATACTAAGCCGATAGCAGGGCCTTCCTCGCTATCAGTTCTAGTCTAGAAGAAGGATGCCAAACTCAAGGACTGCACCGTATTTAATAGCTCTAGCCGAAAGCAGTACAACGACTATATTCGTAACTATAAGCTCAACTAGCGCAACGCACTAAGAGCGCTACTAGACGACTATTCCTTAGTCGTATACGCTATACAGTATATCAATAGCGACCTAAAGCGTACATAGGATAACTATTTTGATTCCCTTTATAACTAGACCGCTGTTTAGTAGCAAGACTATAAGACTATTATGCTAGACACCCTTAGAAACCCTATACTAAGGCAACAATACGCTTAGGACTAATACCTTCGAGCTAAACAAAAGACTAATTAATCGGCTCGCTTATTTAAGGCCTATTTAAAGACCCTCGAGGACGATTTACTAGCTAAGACCGACTCTATCTGGATTTCTAAAATACGCCCTAAATTGCGATAGGAATTGGTCCTTGAATTGGACCGCCGCCGTGTATTTAAACAGACTAATCTTATACGCATTTAATTTATAGTCGAAGTCGAAACTGCTAAACGAGCTGTCTAGCTCTAGTAACGACTAGAATTAAGGATCCGACCTACTAGCAACCGTAGCAACCGTAGCCGCGGAGGAAACTAAGGTTCCTACTAAGACAATAATGCTAATAATAGGAATAGTAACAACGACCGTAGAAGAAGCCGTAGCCGGCGGCTATATAGAGGAGGCCGTAATAGGGGCCGTAGAAGGGGCTCGTATCCTTATAACGCTAACCGCTCGACTAATAGCAGCTATAGCAACCTCCTAACTAGATTGAAGTGCTTCAATTGCGATAGCACTAGCTATCTACTAGGCTAATACGACAAACCTAGGGATTAGGCCCGAGTCGACCGTGCTGCCGCTAAGTACCGAAAGTATCTCTTAGTAGCTAACGCTACCCCTATAGGCCAACCTTCCAATTAGTCGAAAAAAGAATAAGCGCCGCACTAACTATTAGCCTTATACGGCGTAAGACTATCGACATTGTGCTAGCTATTATACGCACCTGTCTCGTATCGGACACGTATAGAACTAACTATAAGACTAAGGTTACACTAGATCTAGGAAATTCAGTTAGTGCCCTTATTAGCTATCGCCTAGCTAAGCAATTAGACCTTCGACAACTGCCTAGGACTAACCTGCCAACCCTTGCTTGGTTTAATAACGCTCGGCACTTAACCTACGGAGCCTACTATATCTATATAGCCCTAAGAGACGACCTCGGCAATAAGCGCCTACTAAACTTTACTACCTATATAGTAGATATA